TTTACTTAATACGGCTGGGTCCAGTTATTTTTAGTGACGCGGCCGGAGGGGTCGGAGGTCACATGATATTCTTCTCGAAAAGGTAATATTTGGTCATGTTTACGCGGGGGCGCAATAGCAAAGACGGCTGTCAGCACTCCAGGCGAGGCATATATAGCTAGCGACTCTAGCGATATGCTGCTGCACCGGCAGCCATTCAAGGCTCTGTATTTGGCGTATCATGCAGTCACTACCGCTTTCATCACTTTGCCCGCCTGGACTATTATCTATGCTCCTCCCTTCTTTCGACCAAGACCGACGTGGTCGTTATGGAGAACTGTCTGCGTGAAATTGTTACGAAGAGCGGGCAGAATAGCGTCCAGGTATGCTAGTTCGCGATTCCCGACAATATTGAGAGCTGACGTCTCTCTGTGATGAAGAATGGGGGCGGGCGGCCCTAGTGCTGATTGTTACGCCTTAGTCGCCGACGCAAAAGGCAATTGGGTAGAGCCCGTTCCAGAAAATTTTATCGTAGGCGGTATCTGTTCCATGGCAGTGGCTGCTGGCCTGCACCCCGTCCGTCTACCGGGATACTGGTTGGACAGGGATGGCTCGGACATTCCTGCTGGGACGCCAGCCGCCAGCGGTGAGAAAGTAATTTATCACCTTCACGGAGGGGGGTATGTCGCCCACTCTGCAAATCCCAGCGACCCCACTGCCAATATTGGTCGAGGACTGATGAAGCACTGCGCCGCGGTCCGGCGAGTCTTCTCGATCGAGTACCGCCTTAGTTCAGTCACTGAGGGACGATACTGCAACCCGTTTCCTGCTGCACTCATAGACGCATTGACGGGGTATCACTATCTTGTGAACACCTTGGGCTTTCGAGCGGAGGATGTTATACTTGAGGGCGACTCAGCAGGAGGCCATCTTGCTCTGGCACTCGTACGGTATCTTTTGGAAAACAAAAACGACACCCATGTGGCGACGCTCTCCCTTCCTAGCCGTCTGATTCTCCTGTCACCCTGGGTAGATCTCAGCACCTTGCACGAGACCCAGGACTCGTCCTTCTTCCAGTGCTCCAATACAGACTACATCGATCATGGGATGTGCATGAAAAAGTCGAGATCTTTGTGGGGCCATTTGGTTCCGCGGCAGCTGAGATCAACCCTTACCTCTCGCCGGCTTCCCCGCACCCGTCCTTGACCATCTCGTTCAAAGGTTACCCTAAGACTTTCATCACCGCTGGCGGGGCCGAGATACTTAGGGATCAAATCCGCACTTTGAGGGATCGAATGGTGAAAGACTTGGGTAATGGCGTATTGTACTATGAGCCTCCGGACGCCGTCCACGACTACACGGTTTTCAGATTCCACGAGCCCGAGAGGACGGAGACCTTTAGCAGGATTGGTGAATGGCTTTTAGCATAATGGTGCTTGTCATTACCTTAATCTTTGGCGTAACTCTGCTTGCTGCATGGATACTCATGCCGTTCTCTCGTTTAGCCTGCAGTTCGGCTCGTCGGGTATCCCCTCCGTAAAGGGAAATACATCCGCTCCCTTGAACTCCCACACTTGCGACCGTGTCGGACGTCTGCCGCACCAGGTCTACGTATCTGCTCTTCGGGCATGCGCTGAAATCATGCCGTCGGGACGGATTCCAATTCAGTCTGAGCCATCGATCGCGTAGCGCGTAGTCCTACCTCTGCTTTCAATTCAGCCGGAGAGCGCGTTCCTTACCGGGCGGGAGCGCGCCTAAGCGGCGATTATGACAGCCTTGAGTCTTCCCTCTGGGCTTATAAGTCGTGGTGTAACAGGAAAGACGGGTAAACTCAACATTTCAAGACAATCCTCCCAACCATGTATCTCGCCGTTGTAACAACAGTAGCAGCAATTGTCCCCATCCAAGACCAACCAATCGAGCAAAAAGTGAGTCCCAGCGAGCGTGCGCTTCGTACTCGGACTGAAATGAATCCGTCTCAGTATCCTCCCGAGGCGGACAAACCGCTCTCGATGCGACGTTCTGTCACACTTGACGACGATTACTTTGAACGGCGCGAGCTCCGCCTGATCTGCACACAAAAGATAGCCCTTGATGACTTCCTCCCCCAAGAGAACGAGATCATCCCCCGCCTCTACCTTTGCGACCTCTATACCGCCACCTGCCCCAAGGTCCACGATCGTCTCGGCATCACGCATGTCCTGTCAGCAGTCCGCCGCCCGTGGTTCAGCTTTCCACCACCGGTCCAGCATTTGAATGTACCCATCGAGGACACCGGGTCGGCCAATCTGCTAGCATATCTCGACGCCGCAGTGGCCTGGCTGCACCGCTCGCTCTGCAGCTCCACGAGCGCGAGGGTCATGGTACACTGCGTGTGGGGAATGAGCAGGAGTGCCAGTATTGTCGTTGCATACCTCATCGTGAAGTACCACATGACCCTGGATAACGCCCTTGCTTGGGTGCGGCTGAAGCGAACGGTGGTCAGGCCAAACCACGGGTTTATGGCGCAGTTGGAGATTTTCGAGATGCAGACGCGCGAGCGGGAGAGGAGAAAGGCATTCGCGAGGGCTAGGAGTGAAAAGCGGATGTTAGTCGAGGAGTCCGCACACGTACAGCATATAGAAACCGCTTCATTGCCGACGTAGCCTTGCAAAAACTACGTGTATCCCAAATTGTAAAACAATATGTACGACCAAGCAACATTGGGTGACTGTTCCGCTGCAACCGTCAGCGTGAGCGCCAAGTTCACTAACCGAGAGCGAGGATGGACTGACCAAAACTAATACCGCGCCAGCCACCGCCCAATCTCATTCCATGAATTTGTTCGCTCCGGCTCTAACCACGTCATGTTCAAGAAATCGTGGATGGCATCCGGAGGCTCGTAATACGCAACGTCCTCTTCACCAAGATCCCGAACCATCCTATCCCTCAGGACATGGATTTGATCGCGAAACACCTCCGAACCGCCACAAAGGAGGAAAGTGCTCGGAAAGCCTTTGAACGAAACCTCGAGCTCCGGATGTGTCGATGCCGGAGAGATATATTCATTGACTTCGGCCTCCGAAAGACCGAAGGGTCCGCAGAAATATTCCGCTTTCTTTGGGATGTCGACCCCGTCTATGTAATCCGTGCTGGCAAATTCAACCCATGACGAACCGGGTACCGCGCGAACGGGGCTCATATCGCACCAGGGCGATATGAGCAATAACCTCCCTGGAGGGGCGGGGATCTCCACGTCTGGACGTCCTTGGTTGTCCACGAGATAGCGAGTCAATGCAAGAGCCAAGTTACCCCCAGCTGAATCACCATCGACGATAATGTCTGCTGGGTTAAATCCAACGGTATGCACCAGGTAATAATACCCCGACAAAGCATCTATCAGTTGCGTGGGGAATGGATTGACGGCCTTGCCCTCAGGCGTTAAAGTGAGTCGGTACTCGATCGAAAATACACGTTGGATTGGCTGGTGTCGCTCGAGCAACCCTCGACTAATGCCAGCGGTCGGGTCTGAAGGGCTAGCCGAGAGGAAAACATAAGCCCCCCCGTGGAGGTGGAATACCACCTTTTCGCCCGGGTGAGGTGGCGCACCGAAGGGGATGTCATGACCCTCCTTATCAATCCAGTAGCCCGGGAGGCGTATGGGTTTCTCACCGGCGACGGTCGCCATTTCTCGGATACGCCCAACGAGGAGCTGTTCAGGGAGGGGGTCTATCCAGTCCCCCTTCTCTCCAGGAGCAATAGCTCTATGGTCCGGGAACTCCAACAACCTGACTGGCCTACCGAATGGCGAAATCAGTCCAGGTCCAGTAAGTAGAGGTATGTGTGCTTACATCCTGCCCAGGGAAGAGATATGTTGCCACCATCTAATCATGATCATGCGCTTCAGGCTCCATCCTCTCTTGATGCGCATAAATGGCGGCGTGTATATGACGAGCCATAGTGGTAGGCGCACGAATAAAGTGGTGAACGTATCGCACAACAAGAAAAGAGTCTTGAAACTTAAAGGTTGGCGATGGATGCTGAAGAGCATCATGGAGAGACGGCGGGATCGAAGCGGGACCTCAAGTGAACTTCACCGCCCAAAGCCGTCATATAGCAGCTGTTACCGCCATGGGAGGATGTGCATTAACCATATTGTCGCCGTGGCCGATCTATATGCAGGCATGTGTACGTCGGGGGCCCGATAGCGTACGTTCTGTTATTCACCACGGACATAACATATGCCGAGAGTAAGTACGCAGTCGAATTACCAAGAAGTCACCTCGAGCATCCCTTGGACCCTTGGTGCCGGATCCCCCAGAATATCACCGCCACTGACCGACGCCTAAAGTCACCGCAACTTGCTATCACCATCGTCCACGCGTGGGGCGTTCATAAGGATAATTATATACAGCAACCCCCTTGTTGGCATATATACTTCGCAGAATTTTGCTTATCTAGCAATCCCCCGTGCGAACTGTGACTTCAAAAGTGACAGTGTTTCCCTGGACGGTCTGCTGCACCGCACCGCGGACCTGTCATCACGGATGGATTTGCGTGCATACATGTACTTTCAAGTACTACCGGTAAGCCATAACATTTCAGCCGTTTGCAGATCGTTAGGCCATCACTTCAGAAAGTCACATATAGTCGGAGTGTATCGGACATGGTGCCAGGGACGTCCCAGGAATTAAAAGAAGTCCAAATGGTCTGATATTGGGGCCTCGGGGACTTGAATTCCCCTCTCCGACATGGTCCGACTGTAAATGATTTTCAAGAAATGGGCCCATCAAACTGCAAACGGCTGTTAGCTCGAGCACTGGCAGGATGAGATACTTAGTCCGCTGGCTTTACGCGATTCCTTCCGTATTAGGCAGGTATGGCTCGGAGGTTCCCGGGTGTTAATGAGGACCACTCCCGATATCCAGTAGAGCGACGGCGGGGCTGCTTTCTTTTAGCCATGGCATCTCACATTCTTCATTCCTCCCACAGCTGGATGAGGCTGAGAGTGAAAACTGGCCTGAAAGAGTGCCTCAGCCTCCCCCCTTGGGAAGCCATCCATGCAGCAGGAGGTCTGTCACTGCATTCGCGGAGACTTGACGTGGACCTTGCACTCTTCCCGTGAGACCACACACTGTGACACAGCCACTTTGAGCTTTGTCACACATGTAGCCCAGCCTGAGGTTGCTGAATAGGAAAGTTTTGGAAAAGTATAACAATCCGGGTTGATGCCAGTAAGAACCGTCATACGTCATAAGTAAGGGGAGTTGCTGTATCCTCAGGGCGGTGTCCTACATTAATCCCGTCTAATTTGTGTGTATATATTGCTATCTCTGTCGATATCCTCAGACTAGCCACATCATTTGGCAATAGCCTATACGAGCCTGTCCGACGCCACGCAGCATCAATATTTCGAGCATCCCACAGCAGGCACGGGATCCCAGGACGCCATAAGTCCGGCCGTTGCAAGTGGCTGACACCCAGAGGTCAAGGACTGCCCAATGTACACAACATCAACAACATTCCGTCTGCGGAAATCTCGATGAATTGTATGAGGTATTCCAGACCATGATAGCAAATGACAAGCAAGCACGATAACAACATGGGCAATGTGACGACGGTCCGTTCCTTGAGCACTTATTCCGGGTCGCAAGATTCACGGCAAAAGATCGGCTTCTTTTAAATATCTCCTGAGAATGCCCTCTCGCACTTAAGGTAGAGGAAGTGAGCGAGCAGCATCATTGTCGGGACGCCATCTTCAAGTGAAGCCCGATTGCGGAGATAGGCAGCTTACCTGTATCAAGGGTCATCTTCGTAGCTTTTGTGTCCTAGCGCCGGAAAGGGGCAGGTGAGGGGACGATGGAGCTCACATAAGGTGGACGTACTGTAACGGATGTAAGGAATGCGTAGAACCCCCTGGGCTCGGGAGAATTATGCTTTTGCAGTTCTCCAAATTTCTGCTTGAAAACTGACGTAGATGATTCAGCTACAGCGACGCCGCTGAACAGAGATGATGCGCACAGTCTGCAACGCTACGTGCTTCGTTCGGCCTCTTACCATATCCCGGAATGTAGTCCTTAGCATGGACTGCGCCTCCGTAAGGGCTCAACTTCTTTTCCAGAAGATCGTACTTGTTGAGAAATAAAATGAGTTGCACACCCGCTAGTAACGGACAAGCGCAGAGGCCTTTCCATAGAAGCAGACTGTCGTCCAGACGGTTGACTCGACGATCCTCGGCAAGGGATTCGTCGAAGCAAGATATGGGGGCTACAAATATGATTGCGTTGATGTCGTCAAAGTATGGGTACCATGCCGCCCTCTTTGCAACGTCAACCCTATTAGAAATACAGGGTAACAATGATGCTACTCACGCAGGATCGCGAACCTCCCACATCATAGAGGATCCATTCCCGACCCTGTTCGCTACCTGTGACACAAAGTGGATATAGTAATGTCAGGCGCCGGCCCGCGCACCTCTGTGGAAGAAAGCACACCTCGTTCAAACTTCAGACGGTGTTCCTGCACCCCTACCGTGCGCAGCCGAGCACGAACCACGTCGTCGTCTGAAGGTTCGTAATCTTGACTCGCAATGCGATCAATGTCGTTCAGGAAGCTAGAAACGAAGGTCACTAAGCCCCCGAGTACTGACGATTTTCGTTGACGCACAATCCAGGCGCATCCTCCAGTCGTAACCTGCGTTTTATAAGAATACTCTGTACGGCTTCATCCGTCCAAAGAGCTTTGATGTCGTCTTTGCACTGGGCAAGAACATCAGTGGTCTCGTCATCGATATCTCTGGGTCGCTTCATGTTTCGCTTCTGGAGCCGTCTTCCTGCTTGATCATCGTCCTCGTACTTCTCATCCAGGTTTTCCTGTGAGCGTGCGTCCATTGACAAGCGCGGTCGCACCTTGTCCAGTGCGGCTTTCCAACCCGTACTGGAACGAATGAAAAATTCGCGTGGTCTGTGAGGGTTGGGCTGTAGCTCCGTAAGAATGGTGTTTTCAGTCCTAGACTGAACCTGCTCCGTGAATGGCGCCGCCGACGTAACAGCAGTAAACGTGTCCTCGGTTGCAGCAGACCCCAAGCGCGCTTCGAGGTCTCTCTGGACGCGCTGCAGCGGTTGCAAACGTTGCTTCAGAAGCTTATGGTACTCCGACACAGGTGTCCGGAAACGTAGTGAGGGATCGGATGCAACACGAGGAATGCGTACCCGAGAGCTGGAGCCGGAGCTTAAGGGATAGGCATCCTCGTCATCATCGTGACCGGTAGGTAACGGCAGGTGCATTGACCTCGGAGATGCCGGGGACGTGGGCTGGGCCATCTCCTTCGTCAGAAGGTCCACTATAGTGTTCACCGAGCGAACGAGGTTTAGTTGAATGACCGCACGCCATGACACTCGTTCTTCCGTCCACGCTCTATAGGCGTATGCAATCTGGAAGTCTTGCAAAGCCTATCAGCATCCAAGCTGGATATAGGAATCAGGTACGTACTCTTGATTGTCGTGGATTTGCCTGCTCTGCAATCAGCTCGACGCTCTGAAGGATGCGTAGCTGGACACACCGCTTTCGCTCTGGCCAAGAAGCAAGACTCTGACAGCCTTTTTCTTCTTCTTTAAGGCCAGCCTGTCAGCCTTGATCTGTGCATCAATGTTCTCGCTGATCTTGCGCGCTCGTGTCTCATCCGACTCTCGCGCGACTCGCTGCTCATCTGTCTCATGCTCAGGCGGCGCCATGGCTGAGGCCAACGGGTCCTCCGCAGCCTCCATGAGGGACGGAAAGATAGAACGGAAGCTACGCATTTCAAGCTTGATAGCAGAAGGTGATGGCGCTACCGAGGATCCACAAGCATAATTGAGGGTTCGACAGCAATGCAGGAGGTATTGCCTGTTGTATATAGCTTGACCCGGCAACGAGTACACAGCGCCGTCACGTTCACTGCCGTTATGGCAGTCCGACTTCAATTATCATGGTTGGTGAGAAAGAGAAGTCGCACTGCTGTCTGCAAGATACGGCCACATCCCCATCCACGTGGCTGAGTAAGCGCTTCCAATGCACCCTACTCCCGTCCTCTTGTTTTCCATTGGCCGACAAAAGTAGAATGTCTCCCAGGGACGCCAAAACGTAGACCAACGCAAGGTTTACTTCAACCGTTTCAGACGAAGCCACGGAAGCTGTGTGACAACCGGTCTGTCAAACTTTCCGTGGCTACGCCTGAAGTGATTGATTGGACCAGCTTAGGAGTCGTTTCTTGATACTTGCAAGCCTTAGTATGGAGGGTGATTGTGATCGCTCACTAACGTCGTCACGATATCTGTCATAACGGCTTCTCTGGGGGAAATACATCTCCTGCATCCCGAAGTCTGAAAGGGATCAGCAACACAACCGGCGTCTCCGAAGTGATATGCAGTGTCCATCAGGTCACGCTTTCTACCTATGCTACGTGCTCCAATGATGCACGGCCTTCTACAGGGATTGCCACCTTGATTATCGTTATATCATACAATGCCGCCGCCTGCGCTAACGAAATGTAATGACGCCGCGAACGTAGTCGCGAGTATGATCCAAGCAGAGCTGTGGTATCTCCCTGGTGGACTAGGTCGACTTCAGTGGCGTGAGCCGTTCTCGGGACTCGGAGACCCCATCAGTTGAAAACCTTCAATTGTGTAGGAGCACTCATCCCTACCCAGGACGCATCCAGTAGGTCATAGTCAAAACCTTTGATCTGTAGACTGACAGTCGGTATTGATCTATATCGTTGCGGGAGACCAATCCCTTTGCGGATCTTGCGTACGTGGCTTTCTTGTACCACATTGTCTGCGATGGATCTAACGGATGGACCACTCGATACTTGATTAGGGTATGTGTTGAATGCACAAACAGAGGATCTAACTCAATTCGGCGATCTTAATCGTCGTTGTCCTGGCTCCATAGGCCAGTCGGGTGCCGCAGATGACGGGGTGCCAGTGAACGCGCAGCTTTGCTATGCATTCACCCGACTCCACCCGACGCATGCTCTATCAGTACTTTAGAATCCCTATCCCCAGGACCTCTTTTCCCCTCGGGTAAACTGCCGTCTCGATGAGTGCTCGCCCTAGAACCTACGTCTCTCTAACCCCTTCCGCTAATGAAGACCTGTCTGAACTCTACCTCAAACTTCAGGATGCTACAAGACCACTTCGCTTGTACAAGGAAAGTGACATGCGCTCGCTATGCCTGTTGTGCAACTGACGCCAGAGGACAGAGGGCCTGTTTCCAGCTTCTCGACATCTGCGATAAATATTCGCATCGTGTTGCTAATGATTTGGTCACCATACATCTGTCTGATGTTTCCCAAGCGAGACGGTGTGTTATCGGGTGGTGTTATCCCGAATTGTGCTCTGCTGACAATTTTGTTTGAGCAGCTGGTACCAAGACTTACTCGGCTACATAGAAGAATGGGCAAACCTAGATGCACTCCATCTACTCATATACGGGCCTTCGGTTGAGCAGACCTTGAAGCAGTTCAGCAATAGAGTCCCAAAGCACATGCGTGATACAGTGCGTTGTTACTAATTTTGTAATGTACCCGAATGTTGATGGGTTACCACCAGGTTCCCCAGCCGGACCTCCGGCGGAGGCTGGAGGAGTGTCTTCAAGAGTCAGATAGTCTGAAGGAGGTTATATTGGACGTCTTGTTGTCGGGACAGCACCTTCAGATGACCCTGAGCGTCGAAGAACTAAGCCAGCTTGTGAATCTGATCGACTGGGTATGCATCGTCGTTAGGGATATCCACCACATAGGCTCACAGAGTGCCGTGAAGGTTCTAGATGACACTGAACCGGATACGCACATCTACACTGTATGCTTGCAATCCCTTCGTGATCTTTGCAGTCGATCTCGTATTCTTCCCTGCTGCATCGGTATCGACGGCTCTCAGGCTGTCGAGAAGGGCGGCAATTCATACACAACGAGCGGCTCAGCCGATATTTACCGGGGCAAATTGGGATATGAAGATGTTGCTATCAAAGTCATGCGGTCATATGACGATGCACAGAACCGTGAAATGGAACGTGTAGGTCCAAGTTACCAATAGTCGCGATTACGCGTCGCTTCACGAGTTTCACAGATATTCTATGCAGAGGTAGTCACCTGGAAGCATCTGAGGCATCCGAACATCGTTCAACTTGTTGGCGTCTCGAGCATACAATTATACAACACGGTTGATTCACAAGGTGCCGCTTCCCGGTGCATGATATCACACTGGACAACACAGGGGAGCGTGACGGAATATCTCACTGAAAATCCCGTCGCCAATAGGCTCCAGTTGGTATGTGTGTATCTTTCCATATTAGCACAAACTCATCACGGCCGAAGACTCTGGATTGCATTTCAGGCCTGGGTTACCTTCACTCCATGGGTTTGGTGCACGGTGACCTGCGAGGCGTAGGTTAATGTGTTTTATCGTACCTTGCACGATCACCAAGGCCCCACTGTTCTACAGGAGAATATCCTCGTTAATCATGATTCCCGCGCCTGTTTGTATGATTTCTCTCAGACGAGGTTGTGGTCGTATAAGGACTCAGAAAGAACATCAATACCCAGTCCGAGTGCTGCCTCGGTCTGGTGGACCGCACCCGAACTGCTCAACGACAGTGGAACCCCGACCCCTCGAAGCGATATCTTCGCATTGGCCATGGTTATGCTTGAGGTATGTGTTGTGTAGTCTGGTCAATGAAAGCGACTTACGATAAATAGATCTTCACCGGAGATCGACCCTTCGCAGATCAGTACGCAGCGGTGCTGGATTATGTTGTGCTCGTCTATACGCAGTGCATTATTCCGGATCGACCCGAACTTACGCCTAACATCGGTCTCAGTGATGAGATTTGGCGACTTATGTCCAGATGCTGGGATCGCCAGCCCAGTAAACGACCGGGGCTGTCACACATCCTTTCTGTAGTCGAACGAGAAAACATGTTGTTCAAACGCCAGCGTTCGGTCATGAAATCACTCGGGCGCGACCCAAATGCACTCTACCGAAGCGCAAGCAGAGATTCCAACCCGTCGCCTTCAGCATCTCCAAGTCGCCGGAATATTGAGGAAGCTGCATTATCACTGGATGACTTACAGACGGTCAGCCGTATCTAAGCGTAATGACTAAGTCTTGCACTAATGAAGAGGTTGCGCAATCGATAGGCGTTGTCCCTCGTTGACCTACAAAGCCGCATCCACTCTCATGTCTTTCGTCGGCTTCAGGTGCAGTGTGCACTAGCTGAGAGACTCCCGTCCGAATACTCCATCAGTGAAGGGCTACAGAGACTAAGCGAGAATCCAGTGGCTGAAGGTGGCTTTGCCTTTCTATATCGCGGGCGATACAGGGGACGCGACGTTGCGATTAAGGTTCTTTCCAGGGCTATCAATGGACATGAGTCTAACGCCGTCAGGAAGGTCAGTCTCCTTTGCACCTTGCTAGATTATGTTACTCGGCGTTCGGTAACACGCCTGCCTTTACAGAGATTCGTCCAAGAAGGCCTGATATGGAAGCAGTTGGATCACCGCAATATCGTAGAGTTCATCGGGGTGTCTGATACGAATCGACTTGGAATTCACACATATCGCGATCGACCTTGTCTTTGCCTAGTCAGCCAGTGGATGCATGGTGGAAATATGGTGGATCACTTACGCGAAAATCCAGAAGAGGATCGGCTGCGACTGGTATGGCATCCAGCCAGGCTCGCACAGTCGCTCGGAAACGAACTGACTTGCTAAGGTTAGCTCGTTGACGTTGGGATGGGCTTGAATTATCTGCACTCGCTCAGTATTGCCCACGGGGATCTGAAAGGTGTACGTGAAGTCCCTTTGACCCCTCGAATCAACGTCTTAACCTAATGCCATGACACAGGTAAATGTTCTTATAGACCAGCGGGGCTGTGCAATGCTCGCGGACTTCGGGTTAACTAGGACGGCATACGACGCCAACCTGAATATTGTCAGCCACGTCTTATCAAGTTCCGAAATGGCGGGGACATGGAAATGGATGGCTCCCGAAATTTTGTGGCCGACTGACCACGGCTGTCAGCGATCAGCTTATACCATTCAGAGCGACATCTATGCCCTGGGCATGGTAATGTACGAGGTGCGTATCGCATCCTCTGCTACTCTAACCTCATTCTTAGTCCTAGGACATGCAGGTGTTCTCTGGCAGAGTACCATTTGAAGGATTGCGGGATACCGCGGCTATTCTCAAGGTCTACAAGCGCGAACGGCCGTCCAGACCTGATGATGAAACAGCAGTCGCGTTAACCGACTATCTCTGGGCGGTTGTGGAAAGGTGCTGGCACCAAGATAGGGAGAGGCGTCCACTTGTTGCTTCGGTCCTAAGTGCACTCCAGAAAGCACACGAACAACAGAAGATCTGGAGCGGATACGATGCGATGCGAGGCCGCAGAGAAGTGGCTCGGACCTTCTAGTGATGCAAGTGGTTATAATGTACGTTATTACTCATGGCCGAGCGCACGTGAAGATATCCAAGCTATTGTCACGATCTTGATGAATACACGTACAACAAATATATGCCACAGTACCGTCCATACAATTCACGTACAGCAAACCTATACCACAGCATTGTTGCAATCCATTAAGGGACATCAACCGGGTTCCAGCTAATGGAACCCGCCTTCCCTCGATCCAGCGCGTTCAACTTCTCCATATCATCCTCACTCAGCTCAAAGTCGAAGATCTGCGCGTTTGACCGGATGCGCTCGGGCTTGGACGACCTTGGCAATGGGGTGAAACTATTTCACATACACTCGTCAATTAAGTAAATTGGAGGCGCAGCGAGAACTTACCCTCGTTGGAGAGACCAGCGTAAGAGGATCTGCGCCCGGTCGCGGTTGTACTGGATTGAGATTGATCAGCAGGGCTTTGAGTAGATCAGTGGTCTACCACGTTTTTCGTACCTGCTTGGCCAATTCATTGATAACCGGATGGTCCATATCGCCACGCAAAATTGGACAATACGCTTCAATTGCGATGGAATGTTCCTGGCAGTAAGACACGATGTCTTTCTGCTGGCAGAAAGGGTGCAACTGCCACACAAGAAAATAAGCAGCGATGAGGAGACGCTGTCGTTGAGCGTACGAGAGGAGTAAAAAATACCTCAATCTGATTGACGACGGGCATGTCGAACCCTGCTTCCTTGATCTCTTCCAAATGCTTGACCCCGCTTGAAATTCCAATAATGAACCAGTGGTCTTCCCGACGCGAGTCAACCGCAGTACTCACTAGTTAGAGACGCCGACGCTTTTGATCTTGCCCAGGTTTCTTGCATCAAGAAGCGCTCTGTAGGTGTCAAGTCGCCGCTTCTTTCCGGAGGAAGCATCATGGATGAGGAAAAGATCGACGTAATCTGTGAAAGACATGGTCGATTAAAACAGCACGCGATGAGGTCGCACAATGTTCTTACCTAGGCCCATTCTGTTTAAGGAGGCATCAACCGCACTTAGGGTGCTCTCATACCCATGGGACGCGCTGTATATTTTAGTACCTATGAAGTTTAGTGGGTATTGGTTGAACCGTCTTTTCCCGAGTACGCGAGGCATCCTTACTCAGGAAGACCTCTTCTCTCTTCAAACCACTCTCACGGAAAGCCTGACCGACTTCTGCTTCATTCGCGTACACTTGAGCCGTGTCAATTAACCTGCGAGAACAAGTTAGTCATTGAAGCTATGTCAGTCTTCAGCGTTGAACCCACCTGTAGCCGACTTTAAAAGCTTCGAGAACGCATGGCTTTGTAGCGCTTCGGGGATCGACAAATGCGCCTCCGTATCCGTAGCCCACGCCGAATCCCAAATGAGGTATAAAATAACCTTGGCAACACAAACAAGCGCTCTGTCCCCTGCCGCCCAATGCTATTGACAACTTGGACTCACCTGAAGTCAGGCGTATTGCGGATTGAATCGTAAGAGCACCTGGAACCATGGCTTCGCTGTCACCCGTGTATATGATATATGATCAAGCCCTCATATTGTATACCCTAGGAGGGGGGATAAAAGCCGTTCCGGGGCTGATGTGGGTTGCCATTAGCATGAGAACGGATGAAACCTACACCGCTACGCCCTCGTCTGTTTGCCACGAGTGAGCGACCCTACGAAAGACCACACAAGACAGATGATGTCCCAAGGAGTTAACAGCGGTGTACCTTGCGATGGACAGATGGCCGGCCGAGTAAACCAGGTTCTACGATGTGTTCGTTCCAAAGCTATCGTCCATCGTTTGAATAGCATCCTCTGAGATTGCGTCCAGGCTGCGACTATGCAACACCCACTCAAAATTCCGAGGTGGCAATTCGGGAAAGTATAGAAAGCCGTGATCACGGAGGTATATCTATTCCCGTATCCAATGCACAGCTACATACGGACTCGTAATGGTGCATAAGTCTGACTACGAACGGCTCAGACTTATGTCGAGCTAGGCTTGATACTGCGCCTCCTAAATAAGACTTAGTAGACGAGCAACTGTCTTAAATGGAATGTCGAGCCAATTACAAGCTAACGAGGCATAAGATATCTACGCGCTGAGCACGCTCCGTGGCTTCCCCGTTCTGCTCAGCGCCTACGCGCCGTCTTTTCTCTACGCGTTTCTGCTTGGCTTTTGTCATGCCCGCCGACCGCATCCCTATCTCTTGTTCCCCAGTGGGGTAGTGTAGCCCGAATTTTGTCGCATCCCGAAGACACGTGGCCATGGCTTCGCCACCGCGCTCTGAGCCTCACCTTTCTTCACGGCATTAATATTCGCCGCCGCCAACCCACCGGGAATTGTACCAAGCATTGCACTGTGTACGATCGCCGGCTTTTCCTTGTCTCATCCCCTTTCTCGGGTCTGAGTACTCTAACTTGAGTAATATACTGGTAGCTAGCTAATCATGATGACCTGGGTATGTACTAGCCACACTTGGAGAGAAATAACGCCGAAGAAACCTGACCAAAGGTTAGATCACTAAATGCTCACCTGCGGATTGGCCGACTATTTCTGCGTAAGAATGGGGGGTACCGTTGGAAACTTGTCAGAAGAGGTTCGAAGGGCTGGCTAATGGGCGGCGGAAGCGGGACGCTAAAGATTCAGAGTTTCGCACGTCAGATGGACGTCGAATGGACGGGGCAGCAGTACTTTTATGCTTACAGTATGTAGCTTCCATGCAAGCTCGCGTCTCAGGGCATCAAGTCATCATCCTCAAGGTGAATGGTCTCTCGACGGATGAGGACCTGATACTCCTTGACGCTTGACTGCCTGGCTCCTGCTGGTACCCTGCACCAGTTCCGGGGATGATGCATAGACAGTTGCATACCGATGTCCCTTTACAATCCGACTGCTGGACATCCAAGTATTCTGGTGGGTGCGTGACGTCGCGTCATGTTCGCTTCCTCACTGACACCGACGTCGTCCCAGGTCAACCGCTTCTGATCATGAATCGCGGGCAACTGCTCTTCGTTATAAATACTGCAGCTCGGTCTGTTCGAGAGCAACGGCCAGTTGCGCCGTCTTTGCTCTCTCCTCACCTCAAAGTGGTCTTCCCTGACACAACATCATGCGTCTTTCATTCACGCTCTTGTCGTTCTTTACCGCTGCAAGCGTTGCGTTGGCATCACCGCTCGCGCTCAGGGTTAGCACCCGAGTCTCCTGCTTCTAGACGAAACCTGTGCTCACCTCCTCCATACAGAGGGCATACATCCCAGGGATCCACATCTGCCCCCGCGGTCCCAACTACTGTGCGGGCACAAACCAAACCGCAGACAACCGCTACCTCTGCGGAGATTCCCGCCTCGGCCCAGATGCCCTCCCGCACAACCCGCCGCTGAACACACTCTTCGAGAACTACGTGCCTCTGGGAGGGCTGTGCCCCGCCGACTGGATCGACCAGTACATCAATAAAACCGTGCCGACGTATCTCGTCTTCCCGCCCGTCGATGGGTTCCAGGAGACCACCAACCGGCTGCCCCTTGAGGGCAACACGACGCTGCCCGTGGGGCTGCTGGTGGATAGGTTCGGCGCGGAGACGGGCCGGTACCTCGCGCCGTTCGGGACGCCCTTCGCGCAGAGGGCGCTGTACCCCGCCGCGATGAACACGGCGGACCCGGCGTACCCGTATGGCTACCACCTGTACAATGTGACGAAGGAGTTCGTGGTGCTTACGGGCCCAATCGCGCCGTGGTTCGGCCAGCCGGGACAGGGGACCCAGTACGAGACGAATGCGAGCGTGGCGGCGCTGGTCAGTGGAGGGTATCTGGCGCGGGTACCTTACGGCGAGGAATGAGGCACAGCGGTTCCTAGTGGCGGTGACGCGATTGGGAGTGATATTGGAAGATAGTCCAAGGAGTAGCGTGTTCGGAGGTCCACTTACCTTACATCACGGTCATAATTCACCTGCGCGTCATTGCCGAGGAAAGCTATGTTCACCTAACGATGAACGTGGTGGCCGAGCGTCCCGCAACCGATAGCACAGCGGACAAATCCCGTGAGGGATACACTGAGCCTCGTCAACCAGCGAACAAACCGCAGCGCCCGCCGACGACACGACGAGTGCCCACAGTGAGATCTGCGTCTTGCCCGGGGTCGTTCCCCGCGCTGCGAATAAAGTCAATCGACATCTCCTGTCAATCAGGGATCGGCAAGAACAGTGCACTGATGGAGCTGGCTGCGGTCAACGGAGACGGGGGGCTATAAATGCCAGCACAGCGATCTGCAAGAGGTGGGTCGGTTATTTCGATCATGCGTGAGTGGGTCAGCGTGCTAACCTTATCCTGCAAGACGGACATTCGCGGGCTTGGAAGGACGTAGCAGATGAACGATCGAATGAAATTGCTTGCTTCGCTGAGGTGCCATGGGCTTCTGTCGTCCCGCGACGTTGGAGGAAGCTTGTTGATCTGCCCTAGCGTGAGGTTGGATGAGCCGTCGAAGACTCGGTTTGCAAAGTGGGGCACCTATAAACATGAGCCAGGTGAAAGGTGAGTAAAAATAAGACAAGAGCGAGGAGTATGTACAATAACGTCATTGCGGCTGGAGAGAATCGCCAGTCCACAGATCAGGAAGATAATACTGTTATCTGAGACCACTCAGAGGCTCGGAATTGATTATTGGGTAGGACTGGGGTACTGGACATACGAATGTTCGACCTGCATGAGTAGGCGGTTACAGGGGATTTGTACTCACCGGTGACCGTTTCAGACATGATCATGAACAGCCCATGCAATCTGTGCCTCACCCTCCGCGAGCGCTCTGGAATCAGCGTTTAGAGGCGAGCCAAGATGGGCACGAGGAGAGGTAGCGTGACTGTGGTGGCGGTAGTAGCAGGCTGGCAGTAGTATTCTCGGCAGGTCAGGCCAAGACACTAGGACCTCATTTCCCTAGGGTGCCTCCCCTAATTGCTCTTGCACAGAGGGCGGATAGAGATATCAGGGCAGCACCCTCAGTACATACTCTCCTTCGAGGCGGGTTTTTATGGCGACAGGCGTGGCAAAGAAATGCGCTAGCTGCCATGGCTCTAGCGGCATCGTATAACAAGTGACAGGGTGCCTGACTACGCTGACTGGCGCGAAGAACAGTCCAGCAAGCCTCGAAGTGCACCGGAGGCGGGCCTACCAGCACTAGCAACAGAAATTCACCGCGTTGCGGGGAACCGTCGAACAGCTCGATGTCATCGTGACGTCTCTATGAGTGCCAGTATACGGATTTACAGAATAAAGATACATCCACCTTGTCCAAACCTTGTCTATCATTAATCTATTCCACCATTCCACCCCAACCGAACCAAAACGAGCCTTAGAGCCTCTTCAGGGCCCCGTCGAGCACCTCGCATGCCCTGTCTACGATCCCGTCCATCCCGTTCTCGACTGCGAGCGGCTCGAGCACGACGAGGTCCGCCACATTATCCGTCGGCGCACCTTTCTCGACGTCGCCGCCGGCGAAGACGCCAGCGTGCGCGCGGACGTACGCAGGGTAGACGATCTGGTCGAAGTAGTTCGGCGGGTCGCGCCAGAGGGCGCCCTCTGGGTCGGATTGCACTCCAAGAGGCGAAGGAACGCGGGGAGGGAAAGAGCAGTGAGGGGGGGGGGCAAGGGAGGGAGGGAGCGCGGTTAGCATGGGGAATAGGGTGTATGCGCGCGACTAACCTGCTGTGTGGTACCCGTGCCGTTCGTGGCGGCGTTTCTTCAGGACGTCATACGGCACGCGCAGGAATATCCGCACGTCCAAGCTATCCACGACTTCCTGTGGCACAACCGCTCAGCTTGGCCCTACCCACTTCACCACTGCCTCCACGCACCTTGTCCCAGTAGAGCAAGAAGCCGTCCAGCAGCGCCCACACGATCCGCTCTCCCTTCTCCTCCCGCGCGCGCGCGGCCGCCTCGAACGCAGCCTTCCAGCGCTGCGCGGTCTCACTGCGCACGGGGACGTCGCGCTGCTCGTTGAGGTGGTCGTGCGAGCGGTGCTCGGGCGGGATCTCGCCCGTCGCCTTGACGGAGCGCAGGAAGGACTCGAGGCGCGGCCAGTCGATCGCGCCCTCGGGGGCGTCCCAGTCTTGCACGTTGTACTCGGGGTGGATAGGGATGAGCTCTTGCGGCTGGCAGTAGTTGGTTGGGTGAAAGGGGGATAGAGACAGGCAGGGGGCGTACCGGTGCGAAGTCCTGGGGGAAGGTTGGAGGGTGGTCTCGTGATCAGGGTATCGTGCGTGAGGTACGCACATCTTGGTGTATTATCAGACTGTTTGGGAGGATCCGGAGTAGGTGCTTCGCAAGTGTTGTCTTTCCAGAGCACGTCGCTCCTCTAAATGTGACAGAAATTCCAAGCAGTCAGCTTTCATTACCTGGAACGGGTATTGGGCTACCAGACGGTACATGCGTTTACTCACCCGATACCGACGATAACCACCCGAGTCTTGACTTCCGTTTGTTGGGGAATCGACGTCCCGGGATATTCTCCAGGCATACTTCCACTCGACATAATAGTAAATTCCAGAGAGAACGAGGAAATGAAAGCAGACCCAGTGCTCTAAGTAATCATGCACAATCCTGACTCTCGATGAGAGGATATCTATTTTTAGCGCTGACTCAAGATTCCGTCCGACAAATACCGGCGGTTGCCGTGCGCCTACATACTGCAGCCACCACTACAAGTACAACTGCAATTATGTTCGAGCCCGTGCGCGGCGGCACTCGAGGCGGGCAGGCCGAGTTCAAGTGGGCGGACGTCTCAGCCGACAAGGACCGCGAGGTACGCTTGCGACAGCTGTATGGTATGCAGAGCAGCCTGAGCTGATGGATCGTTCGTCTACGTAGAACTACCTAGGACACAGTATCAACGCCCCCACCGGCCGCTGGCAGAAGAACAAGGATGTGCATTGGTACAATCGGGATGTGACGAGGACGGAGCAGGATAGGCTGGATGAGATCAAGAGGATCAAGGAGCAGGAGGCGGAGGCGCTAGCTGCTGCATTGTGCGTTTTGTCGCTGTTACCACGGAACCTGACTCTGGCGGCTCATTTTCGTTATGCAGAGGATTCGGCGGGCCCAAGCCAGTCGCGGGTGCCACGGCGTCTGGCGCGAATTCCGTCCCTGTCGCTGCGAAGCCGGGGACGAGCGCGTCTCCCCCACCCGGAGACGCGAGCACAACTGTGGAAACCGCGGAAGAGAAAGCCCGGCGCAAAGAGGAGAAGCGGCGGAAAAAGGAGGAGAAGCGACGAAAGAAGGCGGAGAAGGAACGGCGCAGGGCCGAGAGGCGCGAGCGCGGCGAGAGGGACTATGATAGCGACGAGGAGGGAGACAGGGAGAGGAGGAGGAGGTACCGCGATTCGAAGTCGCGCTCGCCGGGGTACCGGGGGCGGGAGCGGTCCCGCTCGCCTAGGGAGTACAGACACCGGTCGCGCTCGCGCTCGCCAAGGGAGTACAGACATCGGTCGAGGGATCGGTTGGTTAGTAGGGAGAGGACGACGCGGAGGAGGAGCTGGTCAAGGTCGAGATCGAGGTCGCGCACGCCGCCACCCCGGCGACATAGGGATGTTGGGGGGTATGGCCGGGGAGAGGCGGAAAGGGAGCAGGAGCGGGATCGACGGAGGTGGGACGAGAGTGCGAGGAGAGATGCGCCCGGCGGCGGGAGGTGGGGGAGGAACTGAGGTGCGGAGCGGTATGTTTCTATGCTACGATGACACGCGTGCTCCTGATCCTGATATTATGTCTGTCAGCTCCGCTCAATATATGGCATATTCCACGGATTATTCAGCGGGTGCCTGCGTTATGTATACTATATCGTGCAAACACTTCCAATGATTGAAGACTAATGCCATAGGCGATGCGTTGGCGCGTCCCAGGGAATGGCGGACGTCCGCTCTGTATGGTCAGTATACGGCTCCCCGCATTCGTCTAAGTATAACGTGGAGTCCTGGTCTCTGCTTAACTTCGACGTTCCTTGAGACACGGCACGACACCCGTCCACATTCATTGGGGTCATTATTTTCTGGCCTCTGAGCAAGGCCGACTACAAATCCACGTCCTCATTTGTATTTGTATCCGCTGGTCAACTGAATATGTGTTGGGGATGATGTGATCCGGAATGAGCGAGAGCCGGTGCAGTGTCGTTCACGAGGAACGCTTTCGGTCCCCCGCGCCGTCTAAATTGGTAACATCCGGACGAATTTCTAGCACCAATGACTGTCTACTAGGGTTTGTCTGCTCGAACTGGTAAATAATCCTCATACAGCGAGTTGCAGGCCCAACAATCCGTCGCAGACGACTCGCAGCCTGTTGATTCCAGCCGGTAGAAATACAAATGAGGCGCGCGCAACCCGGTGCCTGCGGGGTAATCACATGCCAAAATAATAAACCCTAACCTGTGATTGGTCGGGGGTATAAGACGGCAACCTGGGCCGACGGGCCTCCTGCTCTGTCTCTCCCTTCCACCTCACCACCGTCTCACATCGCAATGGCCCAAGTTATCGTCGTCGGTGGTGGTCTTGCTGGCCTCTCTGCTGCACACACGCTCCTCGAGCGTGGGGCGAACGTCCTGCTGCTCGACAAGCAGCCGTGAGTGTTAGATTACTCAGGTTTGTCAGCGGCCGATTGAGCTATGGAATAGATTTATGGGAGGAAACTCGACAAAGGCGACGTCTGGTATCAATGGAGCTGGTACCGCGACGCAGCAGGAGCTCGGGATCCCGGACAATGCGAAGATATTCTTCGAGGACACAAAGAAATCGGTGCGTAGTCCCTGCGGCCGTAGCTGGTGGAATCGTATAATCTAATATGCCCGACAGGCTCGTGAGCTGGCACGAGACGACCTCATCGCTGTCCTCACCGGGCGCTCGGGCGACGCCGTCAACTGGCTGCAGAACAAGTTCGGGCTGGACCTGTCCAAGGTCGCGCGCCTCGGCGGGCACAGCCAGCCGCGCACCCACCGCGGGAGCGCGCAGTTCCCGGGGATGGTGATCACGTACGCGCAGATGGAGCGCCTCGAAGACCTCGCGCAGAGCACCCCCGAGCGCGTGCAGATCAAGAAGAAGGCGCGTGTGAGCAAGCTGCTGAAAGACGAGTCCGGGTCGGTCGTCGGCGTCGAGTACGTGCATAACGGCCAGACGCAAACCGCGTACGGGCCGGTCATCCTCGCGACGGGTGGGTATGCGGCGGACTTTACGAGCGACTCGCTCTTGAAGAAACACCGGCCCGAGTTTTGGGAGCTCCCGACGACGAACGGCGAGCACTGTACTGGTGACGGGCACAAGCTCGCTATGGCTATTGGTGCGAGCGCGATCGACCTTGAGAAGGTGCAGGTGCACCCGACGGGTCTGGTCGACCCGAATGAGCCCGATGCGAAGGTCAAATTTTTGGCGGCGGAGGCGCTGCGTGGGGTTGGCGGGCTGTTGCTTGATAACGAGGGCAAGCGGTTTGTGGATGAGCTGCAGCACCGTGACTACGTTACTGGGAAGATGTGGGAGAACGGCAAGGTGGGGCAACATGGTCGAGTTTGCGAGTGCACACGGCTGACTGTCCCCTAGTACCCGATCAGGCTCGTGTTGAACGGCCAGGCGTCCTCAGAGATCGAGTGGCATTGCAAGCACTACGTCGGCCGCGGGCTGATGAAGCGGTTCGAGAGCGGTGAGGCGCTCGCGAAGGAGATCGGCATCCCGCCCGCGCAGCTGAAGAAGACGTTCGACGAGTACAACGTCATCGCGAAGACGAAGAAGGACCCCTTCGGGAAGAAGTTCTTCTCGACGGGCGAGTGGAAGATGGATGACGTCTTCAACGTCGCGATCATGACGCCCGTGCTGCACTACACCATGGGCGGGCTCGAGATCGACGCCGAGTCGCGCGTGGTGGGCAAGGACGGCAAGCCCATCAACGGCCTGTTCGCCGCAGGCGAGGTCGCGGGCGGTGTCCACGGCGCGAACCGTCTTGGCGGGTCGTCGCTGCTGGGATGTGTCGTGTTCGGCCGGGTATCTGGTGACTCGGCCGCGGCGTACCTCCTGCAGCGCACGGGCGCGATTGCGGCGAAAGCAGCCGGTCGTTTGGGCGTCGTTGCTGGGCATCTCGAGAGCGGCAGTGGTGCCCCTGCGCAGTCGCAGGCGCGGGAGGAGCAGCAAACGGCGAAGGGTGAGCAGACGGCGGGCAAGTCCTCCGGCGGCAAGGGTGGCGAGTTCACAGCGGAAGAGGTCGCGAAGCACAACAAGAAGGATGATATCTGGGTCATCGTGAACGGCCAGGTGTTGGACGTTACTAGCGTATGTGGAGACTAGTTCATCGGTCGGTTCTGAGTATTGATTTGTGCGCAGTTCTTGCCAGAGCACCCCGGAGGGGAGAAGGCTATCCTTCTCTACGCCGGCCGCGATGCTACGGAGGAGTTCAATATGCTTCACGACCCGAAGGTACGTGTATTGCGTTATGGATCCTGGTCGGCGTTGTATCTCATTGTCGTTCCAGGTCATCCCCCGATACGCCCCCGACTCTGTCATCGGCAACCTCAAGAAGTAAGCGTCTGGTGGTCGCGGATTCTTCCTCTCCCTCCTTCAAAATCACCGCTACCTCCTTGTTGCTCATCTTGATATCCCGTACCTTCACACGCACTATCTATTTAGCATGGTTGTTTGAGTTTGGAGCTGTATACTGTACATTTGTTTCCAATATACATCCCCGACCCGTTCACGGAAGTTGCTACTGTCTACCAGTTTACCGTGGGATCATTGCACCATGGGCACTCCAGCCTCAAGCGTGGTGTTCGTTTCGCCAGCGGAATATCTAGTGAGGGTACAATTTCAAGAGCTTGTAGGACGCGAGAATTTGTACTAGGGACGACACAGATAAGATACCTAAAAATTATAATCATTAGTACCTCGGCTATGTCGTCATCAGTACGCTAATTACAGTGCGCAAGGCTTGCCTCCTTCCTCGACTTCTCTTGGTGCAGTCCTCGAGCGCAGTCTGACCTGCAAGCTTTCAGCACAACCACCATCATGAGCAACGAAACGGACCGTTTGCTCCCCACCACGAACGGGCGCAACTTCGCGCAGGACGATACGACGCAGGATGCGCATGCGCGGGAGGCGCGTATGTCGAAGGTCCGGGCGGTCGTGCATGGGCTGTTGACGGTGCTCTTCGTGGCGGGCTTGGTGGTGTTCTTGCTATTGAGCACGAACCATGAGTGGCCGTGGAAGGGCAGCTTGCCCAAGGACCCGTTGAAGGCGGCGCAGAAGATATTGGAGGCGTCTCCTGTCATCGTGAGTGCCTGACGTGCTCGCTCGGTCGGGGGTGATGTGCTGACACAGCCGTGTCGCTCGGTGCGTAGGATGGGCATATTGGTACGTCCCGGCCATGTCTTTCGTTGGGAACTGTGGGACTCATGGTGCATGAAACTCTTCTCGCGCGTTATGACGGCCGTACCTCTGCCCTGTAGATCTCCCCGAGCTCGTCCGGATGGTCTACGCGAACAACGTGTCCGCAGTTGACCTGGAGCACGAGATGCCTGGGCATGTCGACATCCCGCGGCTGCGGAAGGGCAGAGTGGGCGGGTTTTTCTGGTGAGTGGGTCGCCAGTTCCGACTGTCTGTACTCTCTGGCTGAATACTATGTGCGCAGGTCTGTGTACACCGCGTGCCCCGAACACGCGGGGTATGACGCGGGAGAAGACTTCTTGAATGCGACCTGGAGGGTTCGGTAGGTCTCTCCCCTGGGTAACGGTCAATGAGCATGCATGCTTAGACCTCTGCGGTCTCCAGGGATACGCTCGAGCAGATTGACGTTGCGAAGCTGCTGATTGACAAGTACCCTAACGTACGTCCGTGACCCCTCCCATCTGACCTCAGCTTCACGAGAAGCTTAGACGTTCCAACTCGCGCGTTCGTCTCAAGACATCAAGGACGCAATTACCGAAGGCAAGATCGCGTCTCTCCTCGGCGTCGAGGGGTGAGTTTCGCTACCGTTCCCCTCGCTTCTGAACGTGACTCGTTAACTGTATTGGAACTATCGCATCTCGACCGCAGTGCTCACCAGCTCGGGAATTCCATCGCTGTACTCCGACAATACCATGAGTTGGGCGTACGATACGTGACACTCACTCACATGTGCCACAATGCATTTGCGGACTCCTGCGGATTCCTGGAGGCTCCTGAGCCTCTGCACGGCGGGCTGAGGTACGTGTCCTGTGTTCCAGATAAGCACCGTTGCCTAGTGGTGTTTGTGCAGTGAAATCGGCGTTGCGCTCATAGCTGAGATGAACCGGATCGGCGTATTGGTTGACCTCTCGCACACAGCGGACGCTACCGCTAAACAAGCTCTCAAGCTCACCAAGGCGCCGGTCATCTGGAGCCACAGCAGCTCCCGAGCCATCTGGAACGTCTCCAGGAATGTACCGGATGATGTGAGCCATGCTCCGGCACCCCCCGACTTCAAGGGCCGCGCTCTGACTCTGCCCCGTTGTAGGTCCTGGAGCTTGTAGGCTCGGGGGAGAACAAGACGGACGGCGTGGTTATGGTCAATTTCGCGCCTTATTTCGTAGGGGCGGAGGGCAACGCCACTATTGCGTCTGTTGCTGACCACGTCGAGCATATTGCAAAGATCGCTGGGAAGAAACAGTGAGTCCGACTTCCCTGCTTATGATGGTTGACCGGCATGCTAATTTCGTTCCACACATCAGCGTCGGTTTGGGAAGTGACTACGATGGCATCGAAGACGTGCCCAGCGGTTTGGAAGACGTGTCGAAGTATCCTCAGCTCGTACGTTTCCGCAGCCGTCGTAATCCTTTGCCTGCCACTCACCCTCGTTCAACGCGCTATAGTTCGCCGAGCTATACAAGCGCGGCTGGAGCAGATATGATCTCGCGGGCCTCTCGGGCGGGAACCTCCTAAGAGTGTTCGAGGGCGCTGAAGCCGTCGCGAGGAAGCTGCAGCAGGAGGGGACGCAACCTGCGTATGATATCTATAAGAAGAGGACGGATATTGGGAAGAAGCGGGAACTTTGATGGGGAGTGTTTGATCGTGGTATGGAGTTCAGGATTTCGGTTTTGGCGCAAAATGGATCTATCGTTGATTTTCTGTATTATCTATTCGTTTGTGAGAGCTTTGCAGGTGCTCTGTGAATGCAGATTGTGGCGGTAATGGTCAGGCTGTTGTTTACAGGAGACATGGTTTACATACGTTATATTACCGGTGCCTATGGCACCTCGCTGCCGAGGATATGGTTACCGCGGAAGGTCTAGTATCACGAGATGACCATCGGCTTGCATGGTGAGGGTATATCGCACTAAATATCGCGTGCCTGGATGCCACAAATAAGCCACATCGTGACCTGTAATGGTCACGGGATCTGTGACGGTTTGTGTTCTCACGTGGATCCTGAGTGTTTATGCTACTGGCGGCCGGCGATGTACGGAGGATTTCCTCATTGTTCGAGCTGTATATCTACTTCAAAACATGCCACAGGGCTCGAATCCTTCACCACATTCCCTACCGATGGGCGTCCTCTCCGACACTGCCGTGCGTCGTGTGCTAGCGATACCGGAACTCCGCGACATGATACTGAGCTATAACGACCCAGCAACGAACGCTGTCTGCGCGAGAGTCTGCCGGGCGTGGTGCGATCCGGTACTGAACGTGCTGTGGGGAGAGGTCAGCGACTTGACGCTATTGTTTCGTCTCCTTGGGCCCCTGTGGCAGGCCGACAATGGGGAGTACGCAGTGAGTGGCATGCATCGAGATCTCACGTGGTCTCCCGCCGCTAACTGCATCGGCCAGGGTTTCTCAGGGTACCATACGCCCGGTGAACGAGACTGGGACAGGTTCGTGCGGTATGGGTCGAGGGTCCGGACACTCATATACGACACATACAAGAAGTCCACGACTATACGCCTGGAGCTTTTCGATGTGTTCGCACGGACCCGTCCTTCCTTGTGGATGTTACCATCGCTGAAGGAGTTAACGTGGCTTACCAATGACTATTCACAGCTCGACGCCACGGTGCTCTTCATGCACGAACGTGTACGCAAGCTGGCCTTCTCGATACCCGTTATCCCGGAGGGCTACGTCGCCGTGTGTCTGCAGAAACTCAATTCGTTCTGCGAGAAAGTCGTTGCACGGATGCCCAACATAACGCACCTGGACGTGCGGGTTAGGGGTCCTCCTGTGTCCGCCCAGGTATTTCAGCCGCATATTCTCTACCTTATACGCGGGCTGCCAAGATTGGAGAAGATCATACTCCCCATGTACTGGGTTACGGCCGAGGTGATGAACGTAGCCTCAAAGCTGCAAAACCTGGGTACACTTCAGTTCGAAACTGTCAAGGGCCAAGGTGAAGGTTACCGCTCAGACGTAGAGTGTCTCGCCCCCACATTCAGCCCAGGCTCGTTTCCGGCATTATGGGATTTGTCGTTGAATGGCCTTCTGTCTGACTGCACAAACCTACTCGATTCTCCGCACGCACCGTCGAACCTTACCACGATCGCTGTGCACTCGGTTGTAATGGAGACTGCCACTGCGATCCAGCAATTCTTCGAATGTCTGGCCCGCAACTGCCGGGGCTTGCAAGAGCTCTACGTCGTCGCCGTAGACCCGCGATCCCCCCTGCGGCGAAGCGAAGAGCGCATCACCCTGCAAACCCTCGCACCTCTCTTCGCCTGCGCGAAGCTCAAGACGCTCGAGCTCCTGCACGAGTACCCAATGAACATGAGCCAAGAGGACATGGAAGTCGTCGCGACGAAATGGCCGCTGCTCGAGCAGCTCAAGCTTTGCAGCGAGCCCTTCACGCAGGAAAAGTCCACGCTGACGCTGCGCGCGCTGCTTCCGTTCGCGCGGCACTGCCCGAACCTCGAGTTCCTCGGGCTCTACGTCGACGCGACCGCCGCGGACCTGCCCCTCGCGACGCCGCCGCCCTTTCAGCGCCTGCGCAGGCTCTCGCTGGGGCTGTCGAGCCTGCAGGAGCCCGGGCCTGTCACCATCTTCCTCGCGCGGCTGTGCCCGCTCGGGTGCCGCGTCGAGAGCGGCGCGACGTGGGCGGCGGGGTGGCAGCCCGAGGGCTGGACAGAGTTTGGCGAGAAGAATGAGTTCACTGACGGCGTGAACGAGTGGGCGCGCCGCTGCGAGATGTGGGAGGAGGTCGACCGGATGCTGCCCTTGCTGGTGAAGGCCCGTTTGGACGATCGGTATAAAATGGTTGAGATGACGAGGAAGATTGAGGATCTCGAGGCGAGGAACAGCGTGTTTGTGGGTACGCGCCAGATAGCGAAGGATTACGGCTGTGTTGTCTGCTAGGGCCGCAATATGGAAGATAATGGTTGTTCTTTATTGTTATCTACTGGTCTCGACAAGACTGCTTATACTCATGTATATTAGTGTATTCCTGACCCAATGTATTGCATACTACCGGGACTTCGAACCATCAGAACACCCTGCGACAAACTGAAGCATAACATACCATAGTGTATCGTCAATACATCATAGGGCCCCATTTGAGCAGGCAGCCACGCTTCGCACATATCTCCACCCTCACGGTCTCGTCGTAGTCTTCACTGTAGGGTTTGTATGTCCTCAACAAACGGAGCGAAGGCAGACGGTGTTCCGACGAAAGGATATCGACAATAGACTGTAGGTCGGCAGCCGAGGGGAGGCTGACGTAAACCTCTCGGAGTGAGGGCGGGAACGCAGACTTGTAGTGCTCGGGTGGAAGACCCTTGGCGACCCGTAGGATATTGAGTCGGGAGAGTTCTGGCAGGCGTTCGGCAACGGCATCCCAATGCTCTGAGCTTGGACTGCCTGCCTCGCAGCGGAGGTCGAGCTCGATTAGCGTGCTCTTCCACACCCTCAGGGCTGCGGCCAGTGAACCCCCGGAGTGAAAGCCGCTATCACTGAGCGAGAAGACGACGAGATTTGGCGCGAGCCGGCTGAGCGCCTCGATGTGCGCCGTATCGAGGCTGCAGCCCATATGCATGCGCTGGAGTCTCGGGATGGGAGTGGGCTGGGTTTGGTCGAAGTCCGCACACCAGGAGATTATAGCGTCGTGGAAGAAAACTTGTTCCAGTTTAAACCACCCCTGCATCATCTCGACCATCGTTCCTATTTTGCAGAAGGAGTCTCCCTGCCAGTCGCGGAGCCCGTATCGCGTAATGTACAGAGACGTGAGGTTCGTGCATGCCCTCAGTGCCTCCACGTATTCTTTCAGCAAGAACCCGTTATATCCCTGTATCCGTAAATGTTGAAGATTGGGACACAGGCGGAGAAGCTGGATGTGGCACGAGGTCTCTTCTTTCGTATGGCACTGCGTCCCCAGGTTGAGGCGACGCACGAGCGCCGCGAGCTCAGGGAAGTCTTCCATCGTTTCAGCAAATACTTCCGTCTCGTCTTCGTCTTCAAGATCGACCGAGGCGTATATGATGGTACGAGCGACGGTGCTCCAGTGCCGATTCACGAGGGCAGCGGAGAGGAAGTGTTTCTCGTACCTCCCTTGCGACAGAGTTGTAAGGGAAGAAGACGGCAACCAGTCTTTGACAGGGATTGGATCAATGTAGCCCGTCGAGAGATAACGAAAGATGGGAAGAAGGATCCATGGTGAGAGGTCGCTTATGACCTTGTTTTCCTTGGCTTTTCCGTTCATCATGACGCGTTGGGACTTCCTGCGACCGGGCACGGACATGCTGGCACCGCCGTATGGACGTTTCGCGAGGACCCGCACGCTAAAGTAGAGAAAACAGGCCTCGAGTCTGTGACTGGCATCGTCGAGGAGAGCGCTGGCGGCAAGCCGCGCCACAGACGCGTTCCTTACGTAAGACGCGCTTCATCACGGCCACTGGCAACTCGCGGCGACGATTCCTACTCGAGCAGCGCCGGCTATCGCCGGCCGTGTACCTTGCGACTTGACTCTTGCTTCGGTCCTCTTTCTCTGCGTGTCTATAGTAACATCATACCATCCTAAGGTCAAAGATTTCAAGCAGTTTGAAGCATAAAATGGTAGGCCGCGGTGTCAGCGAGGAGCATGAGCATTCCACTGGATGCTTGTTGCCACAAACAATCACAAATCAATAAAGTTTTAATAATTGAATTCTCAATGTCTGGCATCCTTGCCAGAGTTTGGCAACACTAAGGCAGTGAGAGACTTCCAGAGACAAGAGCAAAGATACTGAATCCGACGGCAGTGATAGAAACCTGGTGCAAAACAATGCACACACCACAAACAAATATAAACAAATACAGTTTTGATGGCTCAATTCCCGACAAGCAGAGACCTTGCTAGTTGCAAGGTAACGCATTTTCGATGTGTTTTGATAGAACACATTGTCAGCAGAACTTGCGACAGATATAAATCCACCTAGAATTTACTAAGCGGAAAGGTCGTCAAGCTCCCCAAGAGAATGCTGGATTTAACGTTGGTCGAGCAGTTCCCTTGTGTTCGAGGGGTAGGATAAGTTTCCAATAAACACAGACCCTGATATTGTGGTGGTAATCTGATAGATACTAAATAGGTAGCTGACTACTAGAGTCTAGCTGAGGATGAAGGTAGAGAGCTAACGCAGGTCACAGGAGTCTAACGGCAGACTTCCAATAACCCAGTCTTATATTCCAAGACAGACTTAAGCTAACTGAAGCAGACAGCAGACAGTACTGCAGTCCTTCCCTACTCTGAGGTGCTTCAGACAGTCAGAGTCCAGACAATTCTTATCCCACAGTAGGGACAAGGTCTGATTAACTTGACAGGCAAATAGCTTTATTGGGGGATCCCAGATAGATTGATCCTCTCTTTTCTCTCTACTGAGCTCCTTATATACCCTACAGTAATTTGAAATTACAAACAATAGGGTGAGAAGATACTTGGGAGGAGACAATAGTGTGAGAAAAAGGTAAACAATAGTGTGAGAGAGTGGTATGAGTCATCCAACTCCAGCCAATCCCTGAAGCTTTGAGAACCTGGGTGACTAAGCCAAAACAATAGGCATGGGAAAGTGGTAAACAATAAGGTGGGAAAAGCATGAAAGAAAACAAAAGGGCATGTGAAATCAAGAACAAGGGATGAGAAAATCTTTAACAATAGCATGGGAAAAGCATAAACAATAAGGTGGGAACAATCCTTGGCCAATCATGGAACGCTCTCAGCCCTTCTAGAGCATTCTACACAGTTCCTCTCCCAATACTTGCCCTCATCCTTTCTCCCATTAACAGAAGGTGCTTGGCACGCTCGAAGGATATGTCGTATAGATCTTCATTTCCTTCCCCCAACCAGTTGTTGAAGTCCGCATCTACCAGACCTTCCAAGACCGACCTGTATGTACAGGTCTCTTCGGCTTGATGCTGGTAGTAGTGGTACACTTCCAGCCTGGAGGGTAACGACATTCAGCGAGCGGCGACAGCGCAGTTTGGCATTCGAACGATAACATTGTCTGACAACGTCCCTTCTGGAAGTACCAGCAAATGGAGATCAACGCAGGGATAGCTAAGGACAAGAGGCTGGTGCCCATCAAGTCAAAAGTAACCAAGAAGGCAGACAAGATTGATGCTCTAATCAAAGCAGTTAAGAGGTATTCTGAAGGCTATCCTTTTAACTTTATGGAAGCTTCTACAGATAATACAGACCCAGGGTATGAGGACTCATGGGAAGAGGAATACTAATTCATGACTACCATATTGCGCTTTTTAGCCGTTTAATAATTTCTTTGTTGCATATATTACAGCAATACTAATGTAGATATTATACTAGCTGCATAAAGTATCAAAGTTTCTCTTTCTTGTGCAGGAATAGATCATTCAGTCCGAGGTTGGCAGAGGAGAACAGCCTGTGGCGCGAAATGATGCACGTTGATATGCACTGACACACAACAATCACCAAGGACCAAAAGAAATAAACCTAAACCCCGTGATATGGGTGAAGGCGGTCCGAGACAACTGAGGGGTATTTAATAGTTTGAGGGGGAAAGGAGGAGTAAGACGCCGTAGGGTAGTCCGTAGGAAGACCTAGAAAAATAAAACAAACAATTTGACACCTGAAACAAACGCTAGTTGACGCTCCGGAGTATTTATCTCTGAAAAGTCGCAATCAAAGTCGCAAACCACGGAACCGAGTGTAGGTTCGGGCCCACGGGAGTAGGAAACGCTAGAAAGACTTGTTTAATTTTATTTCGCTATGTGAGACTCACCGGAGCTAATTGAATCGATGGCGGAGATAATTCACTCGACGAGTCAGGCCTATTGGCAAAGCTAGGATCGGTTATAATTCGCTAAGTTCGACGCTTTCGAACTCCTCGGGTCGCTGAGATCGTAACGCTAATTCTCTGAGATGGTGAAGTCGAAACTTGTTTTTCTGTACGCTACTTTGTACAATTTATACTACAGGAATGACTTTGCGACCGTCCGGAGATAAATAACAAATAACCACCGCTACCCACAGGATTGCTCAGCACTTGCCGACGCTATACCATGCACCACACGACTCCCTTGCACTCCTACTTGCTCGTCCCAACCCCTAGAGCTCACCTTGATGCTCTGCCACCTGATCCAAGCGGTACCATCACTCCGTGTGACGCGCCGGTCAAGTGCTGATTACCTCCGGCCGCTTGCTGACTGATGCTGGCCTCATGGTGACTCGTATGCGTCCGCACCTTCGGTATCTTGACGGAAACAAGGGGGAGTGAGTGCTGGAGGGTGGGCATGAGGACGACGCCCCTTGATAAGTGTCCGCGGGTCCCGGAGCTAATGCAGCTAGAAGTCGCATTGGTTAAGTCACTCCGGAGCTTCGGTGCGCGGAGATAAATCGCGGAATGGTTCCGTGTACACCTCGAGGATGTTAGGAAGTCCGGAGCTAAATAGAGAAAGTCTTTTAGAGCCCATAGAAGCCTAGAGGCGTGCGAGCGCTGTGTCGAATAAGCTCCGGGGCACTTGTATGATGTGCTGAATCCGCGTTTTCGGGGGTCAGACGATCCTGAGGCTTATCACCGCACCTTCGGTATTTTGATGGAAAGGAGAGGGGGAGTGTGCTGGAGGTTGGGAATGAGGATGATGCCCCTCGATAGAAGTGTCCGCGGGCCCCGGGGCTAATTCATCTAGAAGTCGCATTGGTTAAGTCACTCCGGAGCTCCTGTTTGCGGAGATAACTCGCGGAATGGGTCCATGTACGCCTCGAGGATGCTAGGAAGGCCGGAGCTAAATGGAACTAGTCTTTAGAGCCCATAGAAGCCTAGAGGCATGTGAATGCTGTGGCGAATAAGCTCCGGAGGGCTTGTACGATGTGCTGAGTCCGCATTTTCGGGGGTCAGACAATCCTGAGGCTTATCAGCGTGTGACAAGCACGGTCACACGGACATTTGGCTGGCAGGCATTGCCGACTCTCACGGAGTCTCACCTGGTGCGAAACAACAATGCACACGCCACAAACAAATATAAACAAATACAGTTTTGATGGCTCAATTCCCGACAAGCAGAGACCTTGCTAGTCGCAAGGTAATACTTTCATATGTTACTCTACCATCTGTCAAATGCATGCACTATGTACAGACTCCGCACGCGTGTCTCTCTGAGATGTAGAACAAACTTAAAGGAGCTTGTAAAACGCGAACCGGAATCAACATCGTGATATGGCAGGCATGTTAGCAGCAGGCAGAACAGGGAAGCATAAGATGGGTGGCCATAAGCACACCAGGCCCAGACACATACACAAACCAAAGGCAAGGTCAATTGCACGGACTAAGGAACAAAGGAAATACAGTGGCTCAGTACATAGTCAAGCTGTTTATACCTATTTGTCCCAGTGGCTCTGCATCCAATACAACCAAAACCTAACAAGGCAACCCACATGCAGGACTCTGGCAGACCCTCGAGTGACAGCCAAAAGCCTCAGGACCACGATGAAGTTGACGCTCTAGTGGAGCAATTCCGAGAAAGCATTTTGCAGAACGGGCGTCAAGCAGCCCATCATGATTATTGGCGTTTATTCTCCTGTTGCTGCTTGGAATCCGTGCAGGTGCTCATAGTCACCTACAGAAAAAGCCTGGTCCTGGTGAGGAGGTCCACCTTGTTGACATCCCGAAGACAGGGTGGCCATCTGACTCTGGGAGGGAGGGCTGGCTTTCAGCGGATGCTTTATGCTAGATTTCCACAGTGCCGTAGAGAAAGTGCCTGTCCAAAAGCCTAGTGGCTATGTCTTACGCGTAGCAAACGGCATGCCCTTCTACTCTGACTCAGAGCTTGTTCCATGGGAGACGACTTTGGGCACTCCTGCATTAAAGGCTATGGGTCGACTGGGAGGAGAGAAATATAGCATCCCGGAGGGCGCAACCTGTGTTCTAGAGAGTCCAGGCCATCCCCTCTTCCATTTCTTGGTACCCACCCGTTCCTTAGCTATAGGTAACTTTCCAGTTGCCAACACCTGAAGAGTCCAGTTGTAGGGAACATCATTCGTGCCTGTTGTGTGTATCTAGCAACATGTGTGGGGTTTATATTACTGGTCCTGAGGAATGAAGGAAGAGTCTTTACCAGGCTTGTGCTGAATGTTGAGTACTGTGGGAATGTAGTTGCCGAGACACTGTGGGAATAAAAGATGTAGTTGCTACTACACATATTTCATACTCCGCTTGTAGTTGAGACTACAAAATGAGATTTGTAGTCCCAAATTTCAGTGATTGCCACAGTGCTCTTCTGCATGGACCTCAAAGAATCTGGCCTTTCAAATATATTATATAAACTATACAGTGGATGCATACAAATATTTTGGTGATTTTATGCTTGTTCTATGATGGCCTGTGGGCGCGTCTTTCCGAACCATGACTACAACTGGTTTACTTACTGAATGCTTGTTGTGGGAATATTATGGCAGAGTTCGAATTAAGAGATTTCCGTGCCGGGTGGGATTCTTGCAATCTGATTGGCTGCACACTCATTTGTAGTGCACTCCCCATTGACTTCAAAGTTTTGTAGTTGGGACTTTAACCGTGGCAAGCTATGATGTAGTTGGAATGCACTTTTGCAAAATTTGCAGTGCAACTACGTCATAGCCATACTCTGCCCCGACCATGGCACTCAGGCTGCCATAAAAAATGGAAAAAATAGCAAAAATTTGTATATATTGCTGGAGTCAGATGTGATGTTATTAGTGCTATTGATAGTACTGCGCAGCATGACTGATTAGCCTCAGTGGCCAAATAAAGTCAGGAACTTGCACAAAAATACTCGGAAATTCTAAATATATTCCTGTAACTGGGTATGGTATGATAAGTACTATTGATAGCACTTGACAGCATGACTCATTAGCTGGACTTGGGAAATAAATTTAGAAAATGATATCATGTGAATAGTTTCAACTCTCAAAGTGTTTCCTACAGTAAGCATGCTGATTCTGAACTCTAATCCTGCGTTGGGTCACTACTTTTGCAGGTATTGTCGCAAGTCCTGGAGTTGGATATGGACTCAACTTTTAGATTGAAAATACCTGTTATAATGTTGCATTACTGGAATATACACTTCCATTGGGCTATTTCTGGATCTGTTATACCAATATCAAGCCAGTTCTGATGTAGTCAACCTGTAACTCTGACCAAAACTAGAGTTTTTTCATGTTGTACTTCATTATAAGTCCTGGAGAACAAAGGAAGAGTCTTTACTGGATCTGCACCAAACAATGATGGTTGTGGGAATGCAAGTGCCAAGAAGCTGCGGGAGTAAAATGCTGCAACCCATATATCCATGCCTGCAGTTCCCTTTAAACAGCCATAACTCTGTGATGCCCGATAACTCATAGATTTTCAGAGGTCATAACCCACAATCTCATATATTTAGCCAATAACCAGTGAGCCAACTTGCAAGTGGGTGTCACCATTACTGTTTACAGTGTGAAATGCTATTTATGTTCCGGGTGTGTCCCAAAGTGTCTACAAAACATCCACATATTGGTATGGGTTTTCACAGACTCAACTGTATTACTGGTGGTGCCTTAAATGCCAATAGTCTACATGTGTATGCAAGATAAGCACTAACCTTGCATATATAGTCTTACAGCTTATAGCCCAGGACTCAGGGCTCGTGTCCTGCCATGCTTGCAATGGCCCACTTCCACAAGTGTTCATTGAAGTGGCCGCGAATCATGATGATTGTCCAATCTCATGGTATGCATGATGTTCAAGAGTGTCGTGTCGTTGCTCCCTTCTAGTTATGGTGGCTGCAGCTCTACCTACGCTCTGCAGAGCCCTTCAAGCCCTCCAATAAATGATGTTCACCACCTGCTTATTATGCACCCCCCTGGAGCAGGCCTACACGAGTACATGGCACAGTCTAAACTTGTCTAGATAGCCCTACATTATGCTTCGAATTACTTCTCCATGTTCAATCAATCCCTTTTTCCTGTGTATCACACTTTGCGTCAGAACATAGAATGAGCATCCTCCGTGTGACAGTCGCAAAGAAGCTGATGGATGTATTGTATTCGCGGGATTTCATATATTAGCACTACATGGTCAATACACCAAAGGGCCATGATGCAGCTCGCAACTACAACCGATGCTGCAGCATATCTCCACTAGATGCACCTCCACAGTCTCAACATACTCATGATCTGCGGGATCATCTACCAGTGGTATACGAAGTGGCTTGTATACCTCAAGCAAACAGAGCGAGAGTAATTCTTGTCCTGATGTCATTACATCAATGAGACATTGTAGCTCGAAAGCTGATGGGATGTAGATGGAAGGCTCTCCCAGCGAAGGCGGGAATGCAGCCTTGTAGTATTCAGATCGGAGTCCCTCTGCAACCCTTAGAACTCGAAGTAGAGAAAGCTTGCATAAGATTTCTGCTGTGTGATCCCACTCGGTGTGGTCTTTGAGAGAGCGATATGTTGAGCAGCGGAGGTCGAGCTTGACTAGCATGGTCTTCCAGGCCCTCAGGGCTCCGGCCATGGAGAGGCCATCCAGAAAGGTGCCATAGCGCAGCGAGAACGAAAGGAGATTCAGTGCAAGCTGAGTGATCACCTCGACCTGCTTCGCATTGAGGTCGCAGCTAACAGCAAAGCACTGGAGTGTCCGGATAGGAACAGGTTGAAATCTGGCGAAGCCCTCACCCCAATAATCTAGAATATCACTGCCCTGAAACAGAACTTGCTCTATCTTTGGCCATCCCTTCATCATCTCGAACATTGTGTGCATTGGGCAGAATGGGGCCGCTTGCCTATACCGCAACCCCATTCAGAAATGTAGAGGGATTCGAGGTTCACGCATGCCCTAAGTGCCTCCGCGAATTCATCCACCAGCTTCCATTAATATCCATGGATGTTCAAATGTTGGATATTGGGACATAGTTGGAGCAGAGAGATGTGACACCGGGTCTCCTCGTACAAGTGGTCGACAGTTGTTATGTCCAAGCGACGCACGAGCAAGGCGAGGTTGGGGACCTCCTCCACACTCGCCAGGAACAATGCTGACTGAAGATCATCATCAAGCCTGACCGACTCGTAAATGATCATGCGAGCGACGGAACTCCAGTGTCGGTTGACGAGGGCAGCGGAGAGGAGAGCTGGAAAGTCTGTCTCGTCCCATATCTGAGTCAGGTGGAAACCAGTCTTCAGCATAAATTTGTTCTAGATGTCCCGTTGCAAGATAACGGAAGATAGCAAGGAGGATCCATGGGGAGAGGCTACTTGTTATCCTCCGTCTTTCCAACGACGAGCTGGAATTGCGTGCTGTCACGAGCAGACATGGCTAACGTCTCGTTGAGGCCCGGGCCTGCAATAATGATTCAGCTGCTGGAGATACTATTGAACAAAGCATTCACCGGGAATGGTGAATACACACAGCTCAGATACAGACTCACCGTACGTATCACAAACTTGTGGCCCTCGCGGCCATACCGGATCAAACTTTGCGCCACAAGCGGATATGTTTCTTTCGACCCGCCACACGGCAGAGCATGTTCCAAATGGTGATGATCATCCGAACATCCCATATCTGCTGCAAGTACTCGCGTTATGGCCTTGCACCAATGCCTAAGTATATCAAATGGTATCGCCCCGCAACGCTCATAGCAGGAACATTCCGACCTTCTAAATTGGGCGCAGAGTTTCAGAACAGTATCAGGGCGGGTGCATCCAGTTCGCTTGAACCGCGGCTTCGACTTCTAGGTGGACTACGACATTAGCGCGATACTATCATGACGACAGCGACGTCACGTAACAAGGTGAGCTACCAGCGTCATTGTTTCCGACTATAGCCGTCAAAAGGTATATGGAACACGACATGTAATGGTCCATAAGGCTCCGCATGGCTCTCTCTGGAAATGTCTACCCTCCCGCCTCAACCTGCAGCACCCACAACCGTGCGGAAATGGAGGCTCGTGCCCGCTCGCACCCATGATTCCTGGGCAGGATTCTCGTCGAACCTGGTACGAATACTCCACGACGGAATACGAGGGGGAACCATGCCCTATGCCCCTCGCAGGGAGGCAACGCCAGGACTGACGGGTATACAGCTCGGAACTAACCAGCGATCGCGCTCCGCGAGGGTCTCACAGATTGTCCCACGGCAAAGGGCCATCGAATATTTTCGAAGTTCCGCTCTCCGGACAGTAGTTCATGAGACCTGCCAATTCTGGGGCAGATGTGTAGTACGAGTGAAACCTCGCGAAAGGGTTCCGGTTGCGTCGTTTAGTCGACAGAGGCGGATGACACCCGTAGAGATCCTTCTTGTACGGAATTAATGCGTTGTTCAGCTGCAATATCAGATGTCAACACAGTGATCAGGAGAGGAACGGAAGGGTAGCGTGCCTCGCCTTGCATAGCCGCATCGCTGTGATCAGCGGCTATATCCACGCCTATGTAGCGGAACCTGTCGGCTGGCCATCGCAATGCGGTTCTGTGTACATTCTCGAACCGTTCCCGCTTCATCTCGTAGCCAACAATGGAGATGAACTCCGGGTAGTACCCGACGTATTCGTGGAAACGCGCGATCGAGTACAACAAGTTCTGATACGAGTCTAAAGCATAGTTCTCCGTGGTCGCGCGGAGAAAGCCCAGCGGAAGGAGGCCCTGCTCCATAGCAAGACGGAGGTACGAGTCGGCTTCCGTAAAAACGGATGCTGTTCTGGTTTGACCGCTACGTCTAGGTTAGTGTGTTATTCGTGCAGTAGTCTATCGAGTAGGGATTCTTACCCGCTGAACACTAGCAACGCCCTCTCATCCCCCAGCGCCCTTTCGACTCTACAAATCCGGAGTGAGTCCTGTATCTGGGGGCTCTCCGAAGTACGTACCCTCCCTTGATATGCTGAAGGAAAGCACCGACCCTTCCTCCGCCCCTTTGATAAGGCTCCAGAATCCAGTCCTCTTCATCTAAGACTCGAGTGGGATCCGACCCTTTCCATATAGCATGCCCAGGCACAATGATCAGGTGGGACAGCTTCTGTATACCAGCATCCCGCTGTATAGTATCAGCAATACTCCAAGGTCCCAGGCTGCCGTGTATATTCAGTTCCGTAATACTTGCATGCCGGGTTGCGAACACATAGGAGAGGTTGTAAAGCAAGGATACGGCGGTGACAGCGGACAGTAACAGCAGCCCGAGGTTTGTTATTCTCGCTCTGAGCAGGAGATCGTCCGTCAGCCTTCGTCGCGAAGCATTACTGCTGCGTCGAAAGCCACCGCGCTTGACGAGGCTGACGGGTGCTGGCAGCATGACTTGAAGTCAACCACGATGGAAACATATCCGAATCTAGCGTATGTTATTCCCACACACCGCATCCTCGATGTGCTTTCGACATCGTTACCCAATCGTCACCCGCTTCCTACCCATGAGCTAACTTCAACAGCTAAGATCTATTCCTGATGCGGAGACCGCCGCTACTGGACTGTATACCGTCCACGAAACAGGTGGGTTGGGTTCCTCAACACTGCCCGTTTACGCCTCATCTTGCGCATACGGAGCTCGAGCCCGTCTGGAGTCTGGAGACCCTAAGCGCTCCTCGCCGGCCGCATCTTTCCTATCACTGTTAGCCAAAGCTTTCTGGTTCTGAGCCTTAGAGTCACGCCTCTCAGATAGAGTCGTGCGGCTCAGACGCGGCTTGAATCACGATGGCATCGATCCTCAGCTCAACGACTCCATAGAGCCTCTGCTTGGGGATCTCTTACTCTGCCTTCCATCCACCTGTCTTGTCTTTGATACATGTCTCCCCGCAGCAGTGTAAATATGCCTGGATTGGGCTCTCATTCTTTTATCGGGAGATCATGAGAACAGGAAATAGCTGACCTGAGAAGCGGCAGCAACCCTCCTTGGACTCTATTGCTCCTGTCTTGATCTCGGCACCAAAGTGGCAGGATGCTGGTTGATGTGCTACGTATTACGAGACGCCTCCGCCTTGCTTATACAGGCAAGAGTGCAGCTTCAAACGGGTCTTGCGTGAAGCTATTCTCCCAACACTCGGGGCGCTGTCTGGAATCAGGTCCACCGGACGCCCGTAGCATCCGCCACTGAGGCTTTCGACGTCTGGCACCTTATCTTGAAGTTCTAAGGCGTGATGAGTCAAGATTCACGGTTCGGCGCATTTGATCACCTATGCCAGGCAATCTATCCAATTCCTCTGGTGCAGAAGGTCGGCTTTGACCTTCTACCCTCAACGGCACGTTCTCCCATCTGCTGTTCAAGAGGCGCTCTACTCGTTCCGATGCTCTATTCTTCTCCTGGTCTCATGACTGGTTCATAAGCACTGATATCACGAATGCTTCCGCGGCATAATAGTCATGCAGTCTTCCATTCATATCACCTTAACGTGCTAATTCTCTCTATCTAGGTATAGTGTATTGGCGGTCGTGAACTCGACACAGCCGTGTTTCGAGTGATGGGCCCGATTCTCACGCTTTCAGAAACTTGACGTCGGTCCTACACTTGCGCCTTTACGGTGGGACCTAAGTACGATAGGACGTCGACTCGATGCCGCAACCGCGGATCGTACATAAGTACGATCTAAACATAATCTGTTCCTGCAAGCCTAAGTGAATATCATCCTGGTACGCCCTTTGTTTACCATGTTCCGTCTATCCCACAGTTGACTGGTACTCGTTATATAGGTCTACAGCGTCGTCATGACCAGTATTTTTGCCTACAAGCCCGTCTATCAGGAAGGTGACCCTGGGAACGGCATCGGGGGGTACAACCTTAAGAACCCTGTAGATCTCTCCTTCGCATTCGACTACAACAGTACCGGAAAGCTCGACCACATCGTCCTTTATCGCCCCGGTACAGGTACCATCTGGATCCTCCACAACTGGCGGGGCAAGTTCACGCCCGTATATCAGGAAGGCGAGCCCGGAAATGGTATCGGCGGGTTCAATCTCAAGAACCCTGCTGATCGTATCTTCCCATTCGACTACGACCACTCAGGCCGGGCAGACCACCTCGTTTGCTACCGTCCGGGTACGGGAACATGCTGGATTCTGAAGAACCATCGCGGGAAGTGGAGCCCGGTGTACCATGAGGGAGAGCCGGGGAACGGTATTGGGGGATACAACCTGATGAACCCGATCGACCAGGGTTTCGCGTTCGATTATAACGGGAGTGGGAAGTTGGACCATCTTGTCTGGTATCGCCCGGGCACGGGGACGGTGTGGATTCTAAAAAACGAGCGCGGCAATTTCTCTCCAGTTTACCAGATGGGCGAGCCCGGTGTCGGCATCGGTGGTTACAACCTTGCGAACCCCATTGACAAGGGGTTCGCATTCGATTACGATGGGTCCGGAAAGTTAGACCACCTTGTCTGGTACCGAGCGGGGACGGGCACCATTTGGATCCTCAAAAATAATCGCGGAAAGTTCTTCCCCGTCTACCAGATGGGAGAGCCTGGCATCGGTATCGGCGGGTATAATCTCGCTAATCCGATAGACAAGGTGATTGCCTTCGATTGGGACGGCAGCGGGAAGCTCGACGAACTCGTCCTATGGAGGGCCGGGACGGGAACTATCTGGATTTTGCAGAGACAGGGAGGTAATAATTGGGTACCGGTCTACCACCAGGGCGAACCTGGCTTGGGTATCGGCGGTTACGATCTCCGTTCCCCTGCCGACCTTGTCTTCGCTTTTGACTACAGACAACGACGAACGCCGAATCATCTTTGCCTTTACCGTCCGGGTACAGGCACGTTTTGGATTCTGGAGAGGCAGTTCTAAATGAGTTCAGGCGATGAAGCGATGTGGGCAATTTGAAGTCGATATATGTCACGATGTTTGGCCTGGAGGGTCTCATAATCGTCGTTGCTATGAATAGTCTGCTCTGACGCGTTTGAACTCGGACCACAACTTCAAAGAGATTCGGATCGGAAAATTGTGGCATGTCTCCTGTGCCTGGCTGACGTCGCTTCCGACTCTCCATGTTAATCTTGCGTTCACTGCACAGTCGATGTGACCAGCCAACTGGACCAGTTGCGTCCGAGATATCGCCGACCGTCCACAATATTTGGGGATGCCCAGGCGTCGTAGTTCGTGTTAATGTTGTGATCTGCACTCTGAATAGCAGGATCTTATGGGCCTCGCCTCTCCTTTCGATAACTTCCATCACTGGCATGAGGTCATTATGAATTGTGACCGATTACTTTGAGGTACGTGCTGCCCCCGCATCCCACGCAATCATGGTCAATTATGTGTTGTAGTCTCCTTTGCTGGGTGGATGCGGCGCTTTCGGGCGACTGCATCCCCCGAGCCCACCTATAACCAGTTAGCTCCTGTATTTGCGTCAGAAGCTGCCGAAGCCGAGGCTCGAGAGCCGAGGTCAAGTGCTTCCTTTGCCCTGATCCAAGGATTGCATTCAATCGTCGCGATCCGGCGAACGAGGAGCTCAGCTGCACCCCTGCGCTGTCTAGCAGGTCGCATTCGAATTCTCCTGGCTGTCATCCAATCGACCTCCTGGTTATGCAGATTTCCCCGCTAATTGCGGCACTGTCGGACTGCACATCCACGTTGCGTCGGTACCAAGGGCTAGCGTGAAAATACCTTTGAGGTCTCTCGTTCAATCCTCGTTCAATGCGAAGGTACCACTCTTACATCTACGTACAGTGGGTTCGTGGACGACAGCTTCGCACGATAATCTTGGTTGTAGATGGGTTGGTCTCTCCTTGTCTTTCTCTTCTACTCGGTCGATGCTGTGTACATAGGCATGAAGAGCACAGCATATGTTCAATCTCTGGGTATATGCTTTATTTGCCGCCTGGTCCGTGCACAAGAGTAGCCTGATCACCTGTTCAGTATTTCGTCGGCACTTTCGTGCTCGATACATGCTGTACTACTAGTAGTAAGTATCAAGCTTAAGGTGAACAACGGAATGGCATCGGCGGACACAACCTCAAACACCCGGTCCAACTCGCGTTTGTGTGTGAGAAAGACGAGTGTATATCAGGGCGCGTGGTGGATCACACAAGGGTGCAAAGGCTCCGCGGCCTCCGCCTTATTCAGATTGGCCATATGATTATCCCTATCCCGGAGCTCTCGTTGAAGCTGGAGGCGTCTGACATCCACTATACTTGTTGAGCTCGATGTGTGCCTGTTGCCACCAATGTGAGTTCAAGACGAAACATCCCATCCGGACTGCCTCTAACTCCGTGTCCGATTCTCAAGATCTCTGGTGGGATGGATGAACAGACATAGATTTCGATGATTTCCTTGTTGGCAGGCCACTGTTGAGAAGTGCTGGTATCATTCCATAAAACTTGTAAGCGAAACCACCAGACGATGATCATTCACTAATCATCTGCTCACAGGCTATATTCCGTCAGCGGGTTAGTAGTAGTCACACATACTAGTGATTCGTTCAAGCAGGTGAGCTAAGTAATAGCGTTCGACGGACGCCACCTCAAACACCCCGCTTACCTCGCGTCTGTACGTAAGACCCACTTGGTTAATCCATTCATGTGGAAGATCACACAAACTTGAAGGTGTAAAGTCTCCGCCTCGCTCAGATTGGCCATAGGCCTGACTGACAGTGAGCGGAGGGTGTCTAACATCGACTGGTCCAATTGACGTGTGCCTGTTTCCATCATTCAGTTGAAGACAATGCATCCTTCTGGACTTCCTCTAATTCCGTGACTTACTCTTGACAGCTGGTCAGCTGGGCAAAGCGCGATTTGGGTGGGTTTCCCGATGTTTGGTTGGCCATTAATGCGGCATTGCTGGCGTTTGGAATATCCCGTAGAACTTGTAAATGACCTGCGAAAATAACTCACTCATTCATTATCGCAGCACTATTACAGGAGATCGACCGCTGTTCCTAAGCTCATGGAATGGGCGGTCTCTTCGTGTCCCAAGGGTTCAGCGTGACGTTCGCCCCTTCGCCGTATTGTCTGTGGATACAGATCTCCATCTACCGGTATACCCACGCCAACTCGGTAGCTTCTCAAGCACCCTTTCGTGGTCAAGCGTGCAGGTGAATGAAGGTTCGTGGAGGACGAAATATTGAATAGCCTTGGAACACGCGAATTTTGGTCTTACTCTAGTTTTGTGACAGTTACGTCTGACTGCAGGGTATATAGAGGACACAGTCTCGACCTTGACAGACATCGCCTTCCCTTCTCACCGAGGACGTAAGTACTGCAACGACTACAAGAGTAGAGCTCTGACGAACCCGTTTTCTCCAGCGCGACCCACTCCCCGTCACCATGTCTTCCACCAGCGACTACACGCCCGTCTATCATCAGGGAGATCCTGGCACCGGTATTGGTGGCTACGATCTCAAGTCGAGCGCGGACACGGCGTTCGCTTTCGACTATGACTCTTCCGGCAAGCTCGACCACATCGTGCTGTACCGCCCAGGCACCGGCACCTGCTGGATCCTGAAGAAAGGCGAAAACGGCGTCTGGTCCCCGGTATATCATCAAGGAGATCCCGGAAACGGTATTGGGGGTTATGATCTCAAATCCCCTGACGACAGGATTATTCCTTTCGACTATGACCACTCCGGCAAAGCCGACCATCTAGTCTGCTACCGCCCGGGCACGGGCACGATATGGATCTTGAAGAATCGCGGCGGGATGTTCAGTGCTGTGTATGCCGGGGAAAGCGGTATTGGGGGATACGACTTGAAGTCCAAAGACGATCTCTGCTTTGCTTACGACTATGACAGGTGCGGCAGGGTGGATTATCTCGCACTCTACCGCCCTGGCACGGGCACCTTTTGGATTTTGAAGCACGAGTCAGGCAAGTTCACCGCTGTCTATAACCAGGGTGATCCTGGCAAGGGCATTGGTGGCTACGATCTCAAGTCCCCCGCTGATCGTGCCTTCGCTTTTGATTGGGAGGGCAGCGACAAGCTGGACTCTATCGTGTTGTATCGTCCGGGAACAGGCACAATATGGATTTTGCGGAGGGAGGGGACGGATTTCACACCCGTGTATCAGCAAGGAGATCCCGGGCAGGGAATTGGAGGATACGATCTGAAATCTGCCCGGGATATATGCTTCCCATTCGCCCACAACCTCGGAAAGAAGCTGAACGAGCTCGTCTTGTATCGCCCTGGTACTGGCACCTTGTGGATCGTGAAGAAGGAAGGCACCCATTCTACGCCGGTCTACCGCCAGGGTGATCCTGGCCTTGGTATAGGCGGTTACGACCTGAAATCTCCCGCCGACAGATGCTTCGCGCTCGACTACAATTCTAATGGCAACCCCGACCATCTCGTGCTGTACCGTCCTGGAACCGGCACTATTTGGATCCTGAGGAGGGTAGTCTAGCTGCTGCCCGTTGTCACGGTGTGGAGATAGGTCGTTGTCTCACATCGAAGTCGGATTGTTGCCGTGGATGCGAACCTCTCTATGACTCCCTGTAAGATAGTCCTTAGCATATCGGAAAACGAAAAGAAAACACGGCCTTTGGGCGATGACTAGCTCGTTCCTAGTAAACAGTTGTACCTGTAGTTCCGATCGGTCTCTACTGTGTTTTGTACCATCAAATGATTGATTGTGAGACTCTCGTCAAGTTCGTGAGGCCCGGGCGGAAGAACACGGTTGATCCGTGGCCCTCAACGGGCTGAAGACAGAGTCCACCAAGGTACAGCCGTTTGCATAAGAAACTGAGCATCGCGTTACTCACAATGTTGTTTGTCCACGCCAAATATGTCCTTTTAGGCTAACAGCAAACGCGCGGCAAAGGGGGTTATGTGCTGACCGTCCTCTCTCCTGCCAAAAAGAGAGGCAATTCGGTCTGCCCTGCCCGAAGCGCTTACGGGAGGGCAGAGTGCTAGTGGCCCTCCATCGCACTGGGGACATAAGTCCAAGATAATTTATCACACCTAGTATAGTTTTATAGCATCCATAGCACTCAGTATACGAGGCCCTCTGCGCCGCCCTGGGGCATTTGCAAGTCCTTTGCCTAGCCAAAGAGCTCGCAATTGGAGAGGCCGTCCAAAGTTGAACAACACACTGAGAAGCGCGATGTTTAGTTTCTTATGCAAATGACTGTAAGGGGCGTAATTCTACCCTTGGCCTTCACCTCCCTGAGCTGATCGGGTCATATCGATAATCTACAAACACAAATTTCATTGGACCGGAATGTTCCGGGAGGTTAATCTTGGTTCGGACGGTATGTATTCCAAGGATGCGCTTTCGATTCTTCACCAGGCTCCGGCACACTGCCCCGGTGTTTTGCAATTGGTCAAAAACTGGGATTTCTGTATGCCAGTGTCAGCATACTGTTGAGATGCCGATATCCCTCCGCGGTCAGGAGTAGATTGCAGATAGAGAAGCCTGGCGGCTCGCATTCTAATTTATACAATGCAAGATGATCATTCATTGTTTATAGGCTCCAGAATAGACAACTATTAAGGGAACGCCGGTGCCGATACGTACGTAGTAGTTGCCCCGGTTTGCGGTTGGAGATACGACAAAGGTGGAAGGCGTCTTGACCTCGGTCGGATGTCTCTTCATGCCGACGCGTGCTAATATTTGACCAGGAAGCGCCTGACGTCGTTCGTGACAGAAATTGTTGATTCGAGGCGCCTGCTCTCAGCAGAGCGGGACACTAGGAGCACGTACTGCGGCTCAGGCTGGCTAATGGAAGACACATCATGTCAACTGGCAAGGAAGGCTAGCGGGGAAATTTCGTGCTGGAGCGGATCTTATTCCTTCCATTTCCTCAGGCCGCTCGTTTGTTATTGGACAAGGCTGTCCCGCCTGTCTCATCGGTACGTGATGAGTTCGCATGAGCTTCTACTATATGCGATCTTTGTGCTTACTTCCATTCGAACGGTGGGCATATGTCACCTGCCTTAGATTGTCTCTGCCCGGTAGTGAGCAGCTGAACGCGGCTTTCAGACGACCCCGATGCTTCTGGTGCATTCGGAATTTAGTCAATCGATTTAGCTATTACAAACCACCTCTGACTCTGCGAGGATCTATGTTTCTCCCCGAAAATAGCATCTGAGCAGGCACAGTACTATATTCACGACTAAAAAGCGTCCGTCTGCACACTATATAAGCTCACATGGATGGCCTCGATAACTATCGTCTTCCTCTCCTCGAGCAAGGTACTTGGAGACTCACCAAGCCTCTGAGCGACTTTAACTGACTTGTTCCTCCATTAGACACGGACCTATCATACTTGCCGACATGTCCGCTCCCACCGCCTACAAACCCGTCTACGCCGAAGGCGACCCCGGTAAGGGCATTGGTGGCTACGACCTCAAGTCGCCCGCAGACAGGGCGTTCGCCTTCGACTACGACTCCTCCGGCAAGCTCGACCACATCGTGCTGTACCGCCCAGGCACCGGCACCTGCTGGATCCTGAAGAAAGGGGACAACGGCTGGGTGCCCGTGTACGCTCAGGGCGACCCCGGGAAGGGCATCGGGGGCTATGATCTCAGATCCCCCGACGATAGGCTCATTGCCTTCGATTATGACCACTCCGGGAAGGCGGACCACCTGGTCTGCTACCGTCCCGGCACAGGCACGATATGGATCCTAAAGAACGACTGCGGGCAATTTCGGGCGGTGTACGAGGAGAGCTGTGGGATCGGGGGATACGATTTGAAGTCGAAAGCGGATCGATGCTTCGCATACGATTATGACAGTTGCGGTAGGATCGATTTCCTCGCCTTGTACCGCCCCGGTACGGGTACTATTTGGATATTGAGCAATTGCAGTGGCACGTTCACCGCTGTCTATGCGCAGGGCGATCCTGGCAGCGGTATCGCGGGGTACGACCTCAAGTCGCCGGCGGACCGCTGCTTCGCCTTCGATTGGGAGGGTAATGGCAAACTGGACGAGATTGTGCTATATCGCCCTGGCACGGGCACGGTGTGGATCGTGCAGAAGCAGGGGACGGTGTTCAAAGCTGTATATGCGCAGGGAGACCCGGGGCAGGGCATCGGAGGATACGATCTGAAGTCGCCAGCGGATCGCTGCTTCGCGTTCGACTACGACGGTGGGGAGAAGCTGGACGAGCTTGTCTTGTATCGTCCTGGCACGGGGACCCTGTGGATCCTGCAGAGGGACGGGGCGGCCTATACGCCGGATTACGCCCAGGGTGATCCTGGCCTCGGGATAGGTGGTTACGACCTGAAGTCTGCGGCGGACAGGTGTTTCGCCCTCGACTACAAGTCGAACGGGAACCCCGATCACCTAGTGCTGTACCGTCCTGGAACCGGTACTTTGTGGATCCTGGAGAGGGAGACCTAGAATTTGCAGTGCATGTACGAATAGGCGTGTCGCATCGAGACCGAAGTGTTGTCCTGTATGCCATCCTTACGACAGTGTATGAGTAGCTCCTGATGCATGTGACGGAAACGTCCTGCACATGAATAGGACAAGGGGGAGAGAAACATCTTATCGAAAACTGCTGTGTACAATATGGCACTTCAAGAGTCCGAATGGGGAACCTCCACCACTAAAGGATGGTGACCAAACGGACAAGTTCGTCCATCGCATAGCAGGTTTAGCGACTAACCGTGATTCGAATCGACGGTACATCCGGCCAGCTGGCCGTCACAGGGTACGTGATATACCACGAATGAAACCCGCTGCAAATATAACAGATTCACGAAGTCAGCCAATCCGTGTCCGCAATACTCGATCTCCAAGCAAGACGACTACGCACTTGAAACTACTACTCCCATTATACGCCACGCCCGCCTCCCCCAAGCCGCTCGTCTCTACACTCACACTCAACCCGGGCACGCCCGCCAGCCCCTTCCCCGCGTTGTGTTCGTACTCCGCCCACTCGAACCCGCCCCCGGCGAACACGACCGTGCTCGGCAGCGTCGCGTTCGTCCCGTCTGCGCGCGCAGAGGGCGGGAAGGAGATCTCGAGGATGCCGGGGGAGGCGGTGGCGTGCACGACGGACGCGGTCGGCGGGGACAGCGCGATGTAACCTACGCGTGGGGGCTGTGAGGGTGTGCTGGACTTAGGGGGGAGCGCCCACTGGATGAGGGCGGCGACCATGGAGGATTGGCGGACGTAGGGCTCGTCGAGCTGGACGCGCAGGTTAGTAAGGAGGGCAGAGGGGAGATGTCATGGCGCACGCACGGATTGCCCGCCGATGCTGATCCCGTCGCCCAGCCACGCCGTGACGTTCCGCACAGCGGTAGGGTCCACCGTGTTCGTGCGCACTTGCCTCTTCAGGGTGCGCTCCGCCCCTACATCCCAATACGCCCCTTGTCATCATTCGTACAAACAAACCGCAAAGCGATCCACGCACCCTTCTCGAACCGCGCGAAGCTGTCCAGCACCCACCCCGGCGTGACGGCCTTCACGACCCCGCTCAGCGGGGCGGCGAGGAACGGGAAGCACGCGTAGTCGTTGATGTGGAGCGACCCGGGGAGCGAGCTCGGTATCGGCGCGGGCGTGGCGGGGGACGGGAGGAGGGACGCGATGAAGTACCCCAGGACGGAGTGGTACCGCGTTTGGTCGAAGCCGTACGTCCTGCGCGGGTGTCGTGGTCAGGGAAGGGGAAAGGGAAGGGAAGAGGGGAAAGGCCGAGAGGAGAGGACGCACCGGTCGAACGGCCCCGCGAGGTTGCGCAGCCCCGCGTTGTACAGCGTGCCGAGGTCCTCCATCGTGCGGCGCAGCATGTAGGTGCCGTACTCCTTCAGCGTGCTGTTCGGCGGGGCAAAGCCGATCCAGAGCGCCAGCGCGTACACGTCTTTCGTTCCACGAATTCGTCAGAAGTGAGTGAGCGGTGGGGATGACGTGAGTGCGCGACGGGAATGAGTGAGCGAGCGACGGGGAATGAGTGAGCGAGCGACGGGGATGGGTGAGCGACCGAGCACGAATAGGTGAGCGACGGGCAGAATCCAGGGGAGAAAAGGGAGGGAAAACACGTACCGACGCCCGTGTACGTCCCCGAGTTATACTCCGCGAACGTATCGAACCCGCCGTACGTGAACAGCTCATAAATCGCCCGCGCGTCCGCCTCCCCGCGCGCGCTCAGGTCCGCGCGGCCCATGCGGTGCCCGACGTAGCTCAGGAGGAACGTGCTCATCAGCCAGGGGTTCGTGTATGCCTATCAGCTGTGTGCGTCAGGGGGAAACTGGGGTGCGGTATGCAGTATGTATGTATGCGCACCGCGTCGTAGTTGTCCTTCGTATTATCGACGTTCACCGCGTTGGCGTACGGCCCGCGGCCCTGGTAGCGCGTGAGCACGCCCTCGGCGGCGAGCAGGAGGGAGCGCTCGATGGTCTTGATGGTGGGGGAGGGCAGGAGGTGGGAGCGCGTGGCGAGGGCGAGGCACCATGCTGTGCCGATGAAGTCTCGCCTGCAAAGAGCAGGGGTTTGTTAGTGAATGGGTGAGGGGCGGGGTGGGGTGGGGGTTGGCATGGGCACTGGAGGGGAGGGGGCTTATGAAGATGATGCCCGGAGGCGATCCGGGCGTCCTAGTATACGCGCGAGTACCCGAGTGTAGCGAGGACTCATGGGTAGTGGAAGATGCACGGTATATCGTACCGAGTTCTGAGGAGCAGGGGCGGGGACACCAGATGGCCCGTTCGCGTCGAAACAGAATGCCAAGTCGTGAACGGGCGGAATCCAGCTGCCAATCCCCTCGCTCATGTATATGCTTCCTTCTTGAGCTACGGGTGGATCACGGGTAAGCCATGGTCTACCCGTAGCGTAGCGGGAGCCCTCCCGGGTGACATGCGTACCCGGAACCAGCCCTACAGAACAGGGTTCCCGCCGTGCACCTAAATGCATACATACCCACGCCAAACGCTACCCATCGACTTTAGCAACTTGAGAGAGTGAGCAACGCACCAGTTGGGGTCCCAATTCGTGTATATCACATCACCGTAGTACCCACCCGAGGTAGGCTCCTCCGGCGCGTGCGGGTACGTCCCGTACCACGGCATGCTGGCGTTCGCATACTGCGTCCCCGCGACGCGCTCGATGATATCCACGGCCCTCTCCACGTCTCCTTCGTCGAACCTCAGCAGCAGCCCCACGGCGTACATCGCGGACGAGCGCGTGTCGTGCGCGCCGGGCGTGCCGGGGTCGGAGGAGAGGAGGTAGGACGCGGACGGGTCGAAGTAGGACGAAACATAGGACATGGAGGAGTGGAAAAGGTGCTGCGCGGCGGGGGGCAGGGACTCGAGGGAGAGCTCGTGAGCGTGGGCGGCGGGGAATGGGGACTGCATGGCCATCGCGAGGAGGCCGACGGTGAGCAGGCTGACGAGCATGCTGGTGAGTCGGTTCGCGGGGATGCCGACGATGTATGCGCACCTTGACCGCTGGTGTTATACTCGAGCGAGTCCGACGCGCGTATCGAACGCGTATATTGGATCAGGCGCCATATTTCGTCCTTGCCCTGATCACGAGGATGCTGTGGCCAATTCGTAGACGGGTCGCCAGACATGACGCGCTCATCTGCCTTCATCTATTGTATCGCGACTGTATCAGAAGGTTCAGAACGCTGTACGGCTCGGCAATATTCGTTATCACGGCCCGACGCAGTTCGAAACATTGACATCTGGACATTTGAGCAAAGTAACATCCACACGCCCAATCTTATTGACTTGGCGTTGCCTTTCTACTCTATCACTCCTTCCTCCAGTTTCAATCTTGCATGCTGGCTTCCTCTCTCGACAGTACGCTCGAGCAGCATCTAACAGTCTGCCGCCACCGCAAACTCCGTCACCACTGAATATCTCGATAGTGGTCGTCAGACCCCACCCGTTTCGGGCTCCCGATATGCCTAGTGGAAGGTCACAGGAATGGTCCTTACGTTCTCTGCGCTGCAGGTCTGACGAGGTCACGTACCCGACCGCTTGTCCGCGGATGCCTCCAGCGTAGTCATCTGCTCCAGGCCAGTCACCCCCATCGAGCAGGCAGAGGCTTCGGCTGCTTCTCGTGGTATCCTGTGACTTGGGTCAGGCATCGAACGGCGGAAGCATGGATGTATTTAATACTTGCCTAAGGCGAGCATTAATGGGAATTATCGACCGCGAGTAACACGCAAAGTCCTCTACATGTCCGCCCTCCGCGCCCTCCGCGCCCTCCGATCCACCGCCCACCTCGCCTCCCGCGCCCCGCGCCTCCTCCCCGCCCCAACCCTCACCCGTCCCTTCTCCCTCTCTTCCCTCCTCCGCGATCCCCCGCGGTACGGCGTCGCCGCTGCAACTAGCCCCTCCTCGTCCTCCCCGCCCAGGCCCACGCTCTTCACGCACGAATTCTCCCTCGCCGACCGCGTCGCCATCGTCTCGGGCGCGAACCGCGGCATCGGCCTCGAGGCCGCGCTCGCGCTCCTCGAGGGCGGCGCGCGCGCCGTCTACTGCCTCGACCGCCCCACCACGCCCTCGAGCGAGTTCGTCCAGGTCGGCGAGTACGTCGGGAAGATGGACGTCGGGCTGGGCGGGGAGCGCAGGAAGGGAGGGAGGTTGGAGTATGTTAGTGTGGATGTGACGGATAAGGAGGCGGTGGTTAGGGAGGTGGGGAAGGTGGGTGATCGGGAGGGACGGGTGGATGTTTGTGTGGCTGCGGCGGGGATATTGAGGAATCATGTGTCGTGCATCGAGTATCCCGAGGAGGAGTTCAAGGAGGTGAGTGATATAAGTATAAGCCACGTCCTACCTCACTTGTGTCTGACTCTGAGTGCAGGTAATGGACGTGAACGTCAACGGCGTGCTCTACACCGCGCAAGCCGCCGGACTCCAGATGGCAAGGTTCAACAAGCCCGGTAGCATCATCCTCGTCGCGTCCATGAGCGGGAGCCTCACGAACATGGTGCGCCTCTCTCTCTTATTCTTTCCCCGTCTAATATAAAGGCCAATGTTTGTGGCAATACAGCACCACCACTGGGTGTCGTACAACACCTCGAAGGGCGCGGTGATCCAGATGGCGCGCAGCATGGCGTGCGAGCTCGGCGCGCGTGGCATCCGCGTCAACTCGCTCTCCCCGGGGTACATCTACACCAGGTATCTGTCCCTGCTCTTCCCCCTTCTCCTTCTCCTTCTCCCTTTCCCCCTTCTCCCCCCGTCTCCCTCTCTCCCCCCTTTCTCCTCCTACCCGTCCGTCCCCGCCCCGAATTCCGCTAACCCAACCCACGATATCCTCAGCCTAACCAAACAATACCTCGACAAACACCCCGGCCTGCAAGACAAATGGTCCGCGCAGAACCCGCTCGGGCGCATCGGCCGCCCGGACGAGCTGCGCGGCGTCGTCGCGTGGCTCGCGAGCGACGCGAGCACGTACTGTACCGGCAGCGAGTGAGTTTTCTTTAGTTTGTGCGAATGAAAGGGATTGAAGGGATGCTGATTGGTTGATTGATTGATTGATGGGGTGCGGTAGTATCATGGTTACGGGCGGGCATCATTCGTGGTAGTGCGGGGAAGAGGGGTGGATGGGTAGTTGGAGGTATGGGGATGGGGATGGGGATGGCGTGATTTAAAGGGATTGTACCGATACCCATGTAGCATAGCACTCGCTGATCTGAAGAGATGGAGAGGGACGACGAGCCCACCATCACCGCATGACAATACATGAAATGAATAAATACAATAATCCTGCATCGCGCGGGCTGCCCAAGGCCAAGGCCACGCAGGATGCGCTTTAGAGGATAGTGACAGTCAACAGAGTGACGATGCCATCCGTCGAGATATCTGCAGCGGACGATCAGCTATCACATACAACTCGGACGAGGGCAAAGACGTGCTGTGATTCACGCCGTTGGCGCCTGGAGCGAGCAGCCCCGTGATGTTGCGGGCGACGGTGCTGTATGAGACGTCGTTGAAGCTCGTCTGGCCTACCGCGTTCTGCACGAGGCGGTCCCTGGATGTGATAAGTGAGAGGTGGACAGAGGAATGCTGCGATGTGCATCGGTTGGGTCTGGTACGTACCTGCCGATGTTGTACCCGTCAGGTACGATAGTGTGGTGCTCTGTGAAAGGCTGCGAGAACTATGAGCTTTCCGAAGCCGGATACAGTGCGCCTGTTATTCAGTTACCTCTTCCTGGGACACCCTTTTCGCGAGTTCGGTAAGATATGGGCGGAAGAAAGCCGGACAGATTCACGTACGCGAAGAACAACGCCCCGCTATCTGCCTGACTGCCGTTCTGACGCCAAATCCTTCCGGAGAGAAGAGACGCAATCAAGACACTCTCAGACAAGCTCAATCAATGAGGGCTTACCTGAAATGGTTCCCACCGATCACACTTTCCAAGCAGGTCCCGATACCAGCGCTGCCGTAGTCCTGGCGGAGCTCGACCGTCTGATTCACCCAGCCGTTCCCGTCGCCTAGGTTGGCCGCCTGGGGGTCGCCCTGGTGGATTCCGAAGCACTCTTCCGAGCTGTGCAGTGGGAAGGTCAACACTCGCTCCCGCGTTAATGCGAGTTGGTACTTTCGACTTACAAACCGATTGATCGGGCATAGTTCAGGATCCCATCGTCAGTCAGAACGTCCCGGGAGCTGAGACCAGAGATGATAACCTGTGGGCATCACCAGCTCAATACAGACCATCGGGCGCGTCGAGAACTGAAGGACAAGCGCACGTTGAGGGGTTCACCGAGTCCCGTGTCGCCCACTTTGTCGAGCATAGATCCGCCGTTGGCGGTCGGGTCGTAGTAGTCCACAGCGCGTTTCTCCAGAGTGATCGCGGAGACCGTCTGGAAGGCGAGAGCAGCTACGGCGAGGGCGGCGGTGAGCATGACGGCCAGTTTCTGTGGACCGGGATGGTAAGAACCGAGCCGGGGGACTGGGGTGTCCCCTCGATGTCCTGGAGCTTTTATACCGAGGCAGACATGGATAGCCAGAGCAACGCTCTCGAGATCACGGAGAAGCGATGAGGAAGGAACTCCGAGCGGATAGCGTGTACTTGTCAAGAATCACGCATTAGAGTAGCAACGTTCGTTAAACAGACCTTTGAGAAGCAAGCGATCATGTGCGTTAAGGCCGGGAGTAACAAGATTGAGGCACCTCGTGCACACGGACGCGTACAACAGAGCCTAGAGAATATCACGGATATCACAAACTTTAGAGAACTCGGGGTTCGCGGCAGCGAGCTCGGATGTTGACCACGAGCGACAACGATAAGGCGTGATTAAACAGCTTCCCGTGCCATAAACGGGACCTCCAGCAGTGAGACCTTCGAATTCCGCGGGACACTGGCATATGGTCCGGCTGCCTCGACATCAATCCATCAGCTTGATAGCAGTAATGTCCGAGTTGACTTCGCAACTCCTTTGAGTTCTGACACTTCTCCATTGTCTCTTCCGCTTCTCCTCCTGAATACCTACTACGACAAGTGCAAATCAGCGGTGAGAGTCCCATGGTGATGAATTAGAAAACAGGATGAGTATCGCAACATACGAGTCCAAAATGTGGCTGAAGTGATCATGACTGAGAGCTGATATCAGAGATGGGCATACTGTATAGGGATCAATTGCATGGACGACGACTCGACGTCGGTTACGCCTCTGTTAGGCAGCCTTCAGCACGTCACTGAGCGGGATACCGCACTAGTTTTCAAGCGTAGACTCGCTGTTGTAACGCAGCATATCTGGAGCTGTGGACCTATGACGAGGGAGCTGAACCTGTCAGGGTCAGTTGCAAGCTCGATCGAGTATACTACTCTCCCCGACTGCATATGAGTTGGACATTGACTGTGTATCAAGTCTGGTCCCTCCGTCTCCCTGTGTGCTGGCATCTTGTGCAACGGCTTTAAAGGCCTAGGCCTTGCGCTCTTCTTTCACTGTCCAGGGGAGACTTTCCGACGTTGCGCCACTCAATGCAATCCTCCCAATAAATTATGGGACGCATATCACGTGCGCTGCGCGGGCCGGTGATAACCGGCTTCTGCAAGGGTAGTTGGGCGACATATATGCATTGTTACCTGTCCCTGTGTTGAGTTTGTAGTGTAATCGTTGCGCGTTCGTCTCATGGAAGCAGAATTGTGATATATCGTGGGTTCGAACCTTGCCTTTTGATCCTCATTTCGGCTTTGCTCCTCGTCTCCTGCTTTTAGATGCTGTTTTGATGCTCTGCCAGCTCAAACTCTAAATATTAATGTTGTCATCAGGTAATCCTTTCACCCGGAAATTCCATTGTCTAATGAGCATCCACTGCTACGTGGCGCACATTCAACCATTTGAAGTCTGAACCCTGGCACCAGCAAGGCATAAATATGAGCTTGCCTACTAAGTTTGCTTTATTAAAGCCTCTTTCCTGAGTGATGAAAGACCCTGCTCCCCTATTAGACTTTAAGTAGTGCATACTTGGAGTGGCAGCTATAAGTAGTATAAGACACAATCATGATATCAAATTTCTGACATTATTACTGCGTATACAATAGCAGTGGGCCGCCTATAGCACATGGGGAGCCCCTTGAAATAGCCTTTCGCCTCTCAATTTGCGGTCGGACGCGGTTGTGGCACCTTCGATGCGCGTGCCGAATGCGTGGAAAGGGGCACGTGACTTGCGTCCCGTAACTTATTGGGAGGATTGCATTCAGTCGTTGCGCCTCTTGCCTTCTCG